TGTTAAAACGCTTTAAATATTCAATTATTTTCTAAAATTTTAATTAAAAAATTTTTTTTAATCAATTGCTATTTAGAATTTAACGACGAGAATTTAATTATTTAAATAGAATAATTTTTGTAAATTTATAAAAAAATGTATTTTTAAAAATCTAATTATATTTATAGATAATTTTTAAAGATAAAAAATATAATTTTGTAAAATATAAAATTTTACAAAATTTCCAATTGTTTCAATTTTTTAAAATTATTTTCGAAAATTCAATTATATCTTCAAAAAGATTTTCAAACACCGTCATGTCAGCATTATCACAAGAAGAAGAAAAAAAAGAAGAAATTTTCGCAGTTCACTTCTCAATTTTTAATCTTCTTTCAGTAGAATATTTGTCATTCATTCTTTCTAAACTCTGAAAAAATTTTAATTATTTTTCACTGAAATTATTTTAATTAATAAAAAAAATTTATTTATTCATCGAAAAAATTGTATATTTTTTTTGGAGAAAATTTTTAACTCAAAAAGAAAGAAATACAAAAGTTTGATTTTTTCTCTTAAAAATCCAATTCTTTTCAAAAAATTGATTTTTTCTCCTGAAAATACAATTTTTTTCAAAAATTAAATTTTTTAGATTTAATTTAATTTTTTTTTTTTTATATTTTGAAATTTTATTTTTAAAAAATTTGTTTTTTCAGGGAAATTTTCAATTGAGGAAATTAGGAAGTAAACAAATTTGACTTTATCTGTTAAAAATTCCCTTTTTTTTTAGTGAAACGTATTTTGAAATCTTAAAGGTAGAATTTACAATGAAAATGTAATTTTTTTCTGGTGAAGAAATAAACGAAGAAAATTTAAAATAAAAACCGGTGAGAAATTAAACTTTAACAATAAAAATCGCGGTGTAACTGATTATTGTAATGACAATCCCATAAGTAACTTCATGGGGTTATAAGAAGACTTAGGATATACTTTGACGTTTCATGTAATGTTGAATATGTTAGAGAAATTGCATACAAAATTTTTCTAATCAAGGGTCACAACTAGCGAAAGCATCTCTCGCTTTCGAATTTACTTAACTTAATGTATGTAATTCACGTGTATTTCCTCAAACACTTTTTTTTTCCTAAACTTTTACTTCAGTTCTTCATTTTTTTAAACTTCTTTAAAAATTTTTTCAATTTCTTCAATTCTTTAAATTTTTCTAGTTTTTATTATTTAAAAAAAATTTTCTCATGTAGATTTTTAATTTATTTTTAATTATAATTAATTCATTTATTTATTAAAAATACATTTATATTTTTACTTATTTTTAATTTTAAAATGATCTTCAATTTTTCTTCCTCGTGGAGGAAGCTTTTTAAATTTTTTTTCAGTTAATTTAATTTCCTTAGTTTTATCATTTTTTTCAGATAATTTAATTTTTTTAATATTTTTAATTTCTCAAATCTTTCTAAATACTTAAATTTTTCCAATTTCCAAAGTTTTAAATTCTTGTAATTTTTGGTAATTTTTTCGTATTAGTAGAAAGAGTCATTCACAGTCAGACGTATTTATGAATTCTTTTAATTATTTTTAACAGTTTTAAAAGTAATTAATTAATTTAGTAATTAATTTTTGACATTAGTAGAAAGAGTCATTTTCAGCCAGACGTAGTTATGAATTCTTTTAATTATTTCTATCAGTAGTAAAAGTCAATATTAGTCAGACATTCTAAATAAAAATTAATTTTTCAGGATTTGTGGTCTTCAATTTTTATCTTTTTTTTATTTTATTTTTTTATCCTAATAAGTTGAAAATTTAATTAATTAATAAGTAGAAAAATTTATTATATAATTAATAGAATATGAAAATAATATGTTTAATACAATAAAATAAAATTGTTCGAGCAAATTTAACATAATTAAAATCGAATCGTTAAAAAAATTACTCCCATAATTCGACAAAATTTATCGATCATCACACAAATTAATTAAATTAATTAAAAATTACTTCAACATATTTTGTCATTTTTTCAAAACTCGATGGCAGATACATTTTTCTTCTTTTTATTTCCTAACAGACCTTCTTTCTTCTATTCACTCCCAACACTTAACAAATATTTTTAATCATCAAACATATGAAATAAAAAGCACAAAAAAATTTTTACATAATATTATAATCGTAATTTAATTGTTTTGTTTAAAGCAAAATATATTAAGAAGCAACAATATTGAAAAATCAAAAAATTCTCTAATTTAATTTTTTTATTGTAAAATAATATACCCATAATGTGCTAAAAAAAATTGAATGACCTTTCTAAATTAGTTTCAGAAAAAAAAATTTTTTTTCAGTGACATTGCTTTCTTTTTGTGTATTAAATAATTTTGAACTTTTTTTTATTACGTTTATGTTTATTATTATCTTTTTTTGAACACTTCTTTTATGAATTCTATATGAAAATCAGATTAACCACTTTCGAAAGAGATGTGGAAGTGAAGACAGGTATAATGAAAAACCTGTTCCCCGGAGGGGAAGATATCAGGTGAGAAACCTTCCATGAATGTCGTTCTTCACTTCATTTTACTTTAAAAAGGAAATTTATCTTCTACTATTATATTAATAACTCAATTTTCCATTTTTTTTTTTAATATTTTATTTTTCATAATTTAAGCATTCTGTCTCGAGTTTTTTCTGTTAATTTTCCTCAAATAATTTAACTTAATTTAATTTAATAATTTCGTAAAGTTAATTTACTCTTTTATGCAAATCTCGAATGAAATGAATTAGTAGTAATTAATTCTCAAAAATCTAATTAACTTCTCAAGTTCTCACAGAAATTTTTGAAAATCCAATTAATTTCTCTCTTGAATTTTTAAAACTAATAACGCAAGAAAGTTATAATTTAAAATAACAAAATTAAAATACATTATTTTTTTCAATTTTAGAAAATTTGTCAATAATAATGCGAACGACTGGGAAAAATTTAATTTTATCCATAATAATAATTTGTTTATCCTCGTCAATTAAAAGAGAGAAGAAATTTAATAATCGAAACGAGGCGTGAATCCTCATTGTCTTTGAATGGAAAATTTCAAAATTATTATTACTCCTCGTCCGATGAAATTTTTTTGATGACGAAATAAGGGAAATAACGAGCATATAAGAATGCTTATTCATGATTCAAATCATTTAATTCTGAATAATGAAGAAGAAGAAGAAAAAGAAGAAGAAGAAAGAAAGAAAGAAAGAAAGAAAGAAAGACAGAAAAAGAAGAAAAAAATAAACAAGTCGTACTACTAGAAAATGACGAGCTAATAAACGTAACAGAGGAAGCTGAGAGTGGATTCACGACGATAATAATACGAGGACGAAAGAATAATAGATAGTTATAAAAACTGCGAGTAAACAGGAAATGCACAAAAAAAAGAAAATAGAAAGACAAAGAAATTAATGGAAAAACAAAAAAAATAAAAAATAAAAACAAGGTTGCCACAAAAACTTAATTTTCATTTTCCCCGACTTTTCCCTGATTTATAAAAAAAAAATTCAAATTTAAACCTTTTAACATTCAATAACTTTTAAGAATATTATTATAAAACATAATTATAATTATGTTTTATAATAATTTTAATTTCGATAAAATTTTTTAAAAAAAAAAATTATATTATTTACATAATTTTTAATAAAATCCTTCACAAGATTTCGTTTTTTACATTATTTCAATTATTTAAAAAAATGTAATGAAATTCGTCGTAAGAATTCAATTATTATCATAAATATTAAAATTTTTCCTAGAATTTAAATTATTTTTAAATTTTAATACAATTTTAAATAAATTCTTCAAAAAAATGTAATTATTTTCAAACATTTTTTGCAAAAATTCAATTACATTTCACAAATAATAAAATTCTTCGCTGAAATTCAAATATTTTCAAAATCTACTATTTTAATAAAATTTCTCAAAAGAATTCAATTATTTAAAAAAATTTAATAAAATTCGTTGTAAGAATTCAATTATTTTCATGAATAATAAAATTATTCACAGGATTTCAATTATTTAAAAGAAATGTAATAAAATTCATTGCTGGAATTTAATGACTATCATAAATAATAAAATTCTTCACAGGATTTGAATTATTTAAAAAAAATGTAATAAAAGTTCATTGCAAGACTTCAATTATTTTCCTAAATAATAAAATTCTTCTTAGGATTTAAATTATTTTTTAATACAATTTTAAGTAAATTCTTCGAAAAATGTAATTAATTTCAAAAATTTTATTAAAATTCTTCGAAAGAAATAAATGAACAATTATCAATTATTTTCAATTTTTTATCTGAAATTTGATCTGAAATTCACTTTTAAAACAATTTTTAATAGAAAATTCTACGAGAATTCAATTATTTAAATACAAAAATCAAAAAATTATTGAATAAACAAATGTTTCTCACAATTGAATTCTCATAAAGAATTTCATCAACAAATTTTTAAATCTTGATCGAATTTTTTCGACGAATTTTAATAAAATTTTCAAGAAGAATTACATTTTTCGAGGAATTCAGTTAAAATTGTATTAAAAATAATTGAAATTCTCTGATTATTATTCATGAAAATAATTTAATCTCTGTAAAAAATGTTATTATTTATGAAAATAATTGAATTATTGCGAAAAAATTTATAAAAAATTTTTAAGTAGTTGAATTCCTGTGAAATCTTAATTATTTATGAAAATAATTGAATTTTGGAGAAGAATTTTATTATTTTTAAAGATAATTGAAATTTTGACTAGAATTTTTTTTAAATTTTTGAACAAAACTGAATTTTTGCAAACATTTGTAACTTCTCTAAAATACAATTTTTTTAGTGTTTTTAACTAAAATTCTTCTATAAATCCATGATTTTTAAAAATTAATTAAATATATATTAAAAAATAAAATAAAAATAATTATGAATCCTAAAAATTTAATTTTTTTTCGGTAATTAATAAAAATCCCTGACTTTTCCTTGATTTCCCTGACCTGTGGCAAACCTGAAAATGACAAAGATAACAATGACAAAACAAAAAATGAAGAAATAAAAAGAGAACGAAATTAAGGCAAAACAAGAATATAAGAAATCCGAAAAATAAAGGAAATAGAGAAGTCGACGAAGTTGGGGAAGAAGAAAATTATAAAGAAATTAGAAAAAATGATGAGAAACAATTAATACGAATCTAAAAAAATTAATACTGAAACTAAATAATTTTCCCACATAATTGAAAGAGAAATTTTCAATTTCTGAAAGAAATTTGAAGAAATCCTTTGAGATTCGAATATTTGTCCAAAAAGATCTTCTGACGAATATGTTTAGTATTCTGGAAATTATTCTTCCTGCTGCAAATTTAGAAGTGCTTTTAAACTGACACATCTGCGAAAAAAGGACAAAAATTAGAAATATTTTCTTTTTAATGCGAAGATATATTATTTATAATTTATACTGCGTATTACTTTTCATAATAATAATTAATTAATAATAATTTATTTATTTATTCAAAAATCAATTTCTAGTTACGAATAATAATTCGTAATTCATAATAATTAATTAATAATTTGTACCTAATTCATAATAATTTGTAATAATTAAAACTCCCATAACAAAAGTTTCAACACATTTTTTTTTAAAATTCCCCTTTTTTCGGAACACATTCAGAATAATAATTAATAATGATATTAAATAATAAGTTTTTATAAAATATCCTGAAAAAAAATTCATTTTCCCTCAGTAAAATTAAAAAACAGAAAAATGGGAAGGGGAGGAGAAACAAAATGACAGTCAACTTCTTTATAGCTGCATTCAGGTATAAACAGTCTTCTTTTTTTTAATTTTCTAGAAAAAGAAAAAAAAAGTTTATAATTCAAGCAAGGGCAAAAAATCTAAATTTTGACTTTTCATCAAATATTCCCTTCACATAATCACGAAAAATGGTGAGTAAAAATTGAAATTTTGTTCACAATCAAAATATAATTTCTCTTCTCGATTCAGTTTTAAAATGTCAAAAAAAAGTGAACGATACGATTAGTCTTCAATGACATAGTTTTGTAATAAAAGATTTTAATTTTTATAATTTTATAATTAATGAAACTTCAAAAGCATTTATTTTAAAGAATTTATTCCAAGAAGAATTTATTTGTAAAAATTTATTCCAATTAATTTATTTAGAAGAATTTATTCCGACGAATTAATTTGGAAGAATTTATTCCAGACAATTTATTTGGAAAAATTTATTCCAACTAATTTAATAGAATTAATTTATTCGGAAGAATTTATAAATTAAATTAAAAAAACTAATTTCAAAATTAATGTCAAATGTTAAAAATCCAATAAAATAATAAAAATTCATAAATGAAAAAAATAAAATGAAGAAACAATACAAAAGAGAATATAAACAGTTAAAATAAAATATAAAAGAAGATAAAATATTAAGAAGATGAAATAAAAAAGAAAATATAATGAAGAGAAATTATAAAAGAAGGTAAATCAAGAATTTGTTTTTTAATTTCAGCGCGAATGTCTATCGGTGCACGTGGGTCAGGGTGGAGTACAAATTGGCAATGCTTGTTGGGAATTATATTGCTTGGAACATGGAATTCAGCCTGATGGACAAATGCCATCAGACAAAACCGTCGGAGGTGGTGACGATAGTTTCAACACATTTTTCAGTGAAACAGGAGCCGGAAAACACGTTCCTCGAGCAGTGTTTATTGATTTAGAACCAACCGTAGTCGGTTAGTACAAAATAAAAAAATCCCCCTCAAAAAAAATAAATAAATAATAATTACAGAAATTACAAAAGGATTAATTTCAAAAATAAAACATTAAATTCTAAGATCAAAATTTAAATTTAATTAAATACAAAATAAAATTTTTAATTCAATACTTAAATTTAAATTCCATTCGAATATTAAATTTAAACACAATTAGATTAAAAAATTAAACTTATATTAAGTTCGAACATTGAATTTAAATTCAATTGGATTCAAAAATTAAATTTAAATTCACTTCGAGAATATAATTTAAATTCAATTAATTTTAAATTCGGGAACAAAAATTTAATTTTAATTCAATTCAACACCAAAATTAGATTTAAATTCAATTTGAATAATTAATTCAATTTAAATATTACAAATACGAAAATTTAATTTGAATTCAATTAGATTCAAAAAGTAAATTTAAATTCAGTTCGAAATTTAATTATATCTCAATTACATAAATTTCATGTATAAATTAAAATTTAATTAAAAAATTTAATTTAGATTCAATTAAATTACTAAATTAATTAATTTAGATACAAATTCTAGAAAAAGAATTTAATTTTAATTCAATTCCGCAATTAAATTTAAATTCAATGCGAAAATTTAATTTATATTCCATTAAATTCAAATTCCAGAACTAGAATTTAATTTAAATTTATTTTGAAAATTTAATTTTAATTCATTTAAAATCAAATTCCAGAATATAAATTTGGTTTTAATTCAATTTAATTCCATAATTAATTTAAATTCAATTAAATTCAAAGAATAAAAATCAATAATTTTTTCCAGACGAAGTGAGAACAGGAACATACCGACAATTATTCCATCCAGAGCAATTGATCACCGGCAAGGAGGACGCAGCCAATAATTACGCCCGTGGTCATTACACCGTTGGCAAGGAAATAGTCGATTTAGTTTTAGATCGTATCCGAAAATTAGCCGATCAATGTACTGGCCTACAGGGTTTCTTAATTTTCCACGCATTTGGCGGTGGCACCGGCTCCGGATTCACTAGCCTCCTCATGGAACGTCTCTCTGTTGATTATGGGAAAAAATCAAAATTAGAATTCGCCATTTATCCATCGCCGCAAATTTGCACGGCAATTGTTGAACCATATAATTCCCTGTTGACAACGCACACCACCCTTGAACATTCGGACGCTGCATTTATGGTTGATAATGAGGCAATTTATGATATTTGTCGACGTAATTTGGATATTGAGAGGCCAACTTACACGAATTTGAATCGTCTCATTGGCCAAATTGTCTCGTCAATCACTGCTTCATTACGTTTCGATGGCGCCTTGAATGTTGATCTCACGGAATTTCAAACAAATCTCGTGCCATATCCACGTATTCATTTTCCATTGGCAACGTATGCGCCGGTGATATCGGCTGAGAAGGCATATCACGAGCAATTGACTGTGGCTGAATTGACGAATGCATGCTTTGAGCCATCGAATCAAATGGTTAAATGCGATCCACGTAGGGGTAAATATATGGCGTGTTGCATGCTCTATCGTGGCGATGTTGTACCCAAGGATGTGAATGCCTCCATTGCCACAATCAAAACGAAGAGGACAATTCAATTTGTCGATTGGTGTCCCACTGGTTTTAAGGTATCTTGAATATTTTTTTTCCCCAAATAACAAAATTGCCACAAAAATTTGATTTCGCTTTATTTTATTTTTTTCTCTGACTTTTCCCTGATATCCAGGCAGAATTTTAGCGTTTTCCCTGATAAACGAACAAACCTGAAAAAAATTAAAGGGGAATTTAATTATAAGAGAGATAATTTTTAGAATCGAAAATTTAAATTATTATAAATTATTTAATACATATAATTAAAAAATAAAAATTCCAAAAGTAATTGAATTTTATAAAAGTTACTTTTACAATTTTTTTAAATAATTGAATTTCAATAGATTTTCAATTGAAATTTTAGAAAATTTTAATTTTAAATAATTTTAATTGAAATTACAATTTATTTTTAAATTTATTTAAATTACTTGAATTTCTAAATATATATTTAAATGAAAAATTGGCAAATTGCAAGTATTTTTTTGTTTATAAATTTTTCAAAATTTTAAATTAAAATTTTTTACAAAACTTTAATTAATGAAAAATGAATTTTAAATCTTTTTAAAATTAATAATATAATTAGTAACAAATTATTTTTATTAAAATTTCTTAGAAACTTTTTTTTTTCAGAATTTTTGATAAATCTATCGAGGCTAAAACTTAAAATTAGTTTAAAATATTTTGAAATTTAATTATTTATGAAAATTGCATCAGTTTTAATAAAAAATAATCTTTTCCGAGTTAATTATAAAATTAATATTTTTGAAAAATTAATCTATAATCTAATTCTTTAAAATAAATTTAATTATTTACAAAAAAGTAAAAAAAATAAAGATATTATTTTAAAATTCATTGTGATTCAAAAGCTTTTACAGTGAAATAAAAATTCAAAAAGAATTCAAAGCTTTTAAATTTATCAAAAATACTTTTTGGTGTCTGAAAATATTTTTCAATTAATTTTCCGGCTGATTCAATTTAATTATTAAAAACAGAAGAGAAATGAGTAGAGCAGCAAAAAAATTTACCTCTTTAATTTTTTGTAGTAATTCCAGAAATTTGACGTTTTTCCAGTATTTTTAGTAAAATTCCGTGACATTTCCTTGATTTTCCAGACGAATTTTATTTTCGATGACTTCCCTGACCTATGGCAAACCTGTAATATTATTAATATTAATGTTTCAAATTTTCCAAGAATTATTTTCAATATTTTTTTCCATTATTTTCCAAACAAAATATTAATTTTTTGATGGATTTAGTTTAATCATTAAAAAGAGAAGAAAAAGGAGTAAAAAAAATTACCTGTTTAATTTTTTCTCTTAATTCTAGAAATTTATTCACTTTTCTAGTATTTTTATAAAATTCCCAGACATTTTCCTTATTTTTCAGACCAATTTTATTTTCGATGACTTTTCCCTGACTTTCATGATTTCTCTGACCTGTAGCAACCCTGTAATAAAATATTAATATATTTCAAATTTTCCAGGAATTTTAAATTACTTTCAGTATTTTTAATATATTTTCCAGTTATTTTCCAGAGAAAATATTAATTTTTCTGTAAATTTAGTGCAATTATTAAAAATAGAAGAAAAAGGGAGTAAGAGAAAAAAATTTACCTGCTTTTAATTTTATTTCGTCTTTTTCTCAGGTGGGAATAAATTATCAGCCTCCAACTGTGGTACCAGGTGGCGATTTGGCGAAGGTACAACGTGCCATTTGCATGTTGGCGAACACAACGGCGATTGCTGACGCTTGGAGTCGATTGAATCACAAATTCGACGTGATGTATTCAAAACGAGCTTTCGTCCATTGGTACGTTGGCGAGGGAATGGAAGAAGGTGAATTTTCCGAGGCACGCGAAGATTTGGCAGCATTGGAGAAAGATTACGAAGAAGTTGGCATCGATTCCGTGGAAGGCGAAGGTGAAGGAGGCGAAGAGTATTAAAAAAAAATTCATCAAAAATGTCCCCTGAATTTTATTTTGAATACATTTTTTCTAAAAAGGCAATTTTTTTATACAGTTTTTTCGCACTTTTTTTCTTCCTTTTTTCTTTTTTCTTGGGGAATTTGAAAATGAACCCAAATTCTCTTTTTATATTTTTTCATCGCCTTTGAAGAAGTTTAATTGGGTTTGTTTTTTCTTCTTTCTATTGAATTTGAGAATTTCAATTCTCTTCGCGAATTCCGTGTCTATCGAAACTCTTCAGTCATTTAGAAATCGATGTAAGAACGATTGCGAATTGTATTCAATTTACGAATGGAACTGTAACTTATAGCTGAAAATAAAACTTTAAAAATATAATTTTATTTCATTAAATTATTATTTATTGCGTGGAAAAATATTTTAACTGAAAATTTTTTCGTATTTGAAACAAAAATTTAATTTATAACTTTTAAGGGAACAAATTACAAATTTTTTTTGAAACGATTACAAACTTCTGTAAAAATTGAAAACAGTTTCTTAAAAAAAACAAGATTTTGCCAAAGGTAAAAAATTTTAGTTTACTGTTTTTTTGGAAATAATATAATTAAAAAAATCAAAAGAGTAAAATAAGTCTTTACAAACAAAACAGTAAAATGTAACAAACTAGAAAGTACATAAATTTCTTGAAAAATGAAAACTTGCACTAAAGTACTAAAATAAAAAAATAAAATAAACTTTTCTAAGAAGAAATATTAATCGACTTGATTAAAATATAGTTCTCATTACTAATCATGGTTGTCGACTTTAATATTAAAAGTGACGTTATTGAACTCCATAAAATTGACCATTTTTGAATCCTTATTCGGAAGCAAATGTTCTAAAAGTGCAGGTTTCCATTTGAAATTTTCCGTTATAATGATATTTTCTTTCTTTAAAATTTGATAATTGCTCGTGCACAATTCGGGAATATTTTTGAAAATCGTCTCGTAAATGGAACTTATTTTGAAGAATGGTTGAATTTTACATTCGGTGTGAATACGAAAACCAATAACAGTTCCATTGAGTATCACAGGATCGCATTCTAATTCATCCAAAACTGTTGAATTTGTCGAATTCAAACACGTATTTAAATCGACTTCATATCTTCCTTCGTCCATTGATACTTTAATTGGTAATTTTAGAAAATATTCCTGTTTAAATTAATGAATAATTTTGTCAGCAAAATATTTTCATTGAATTATTTTCTTAAAATAAAATATTTTCATATCTGATAAAAAAAATAATAATTAAACGCAAAGAAATTAAAATTTTTCAATTCCTTGCATATATTTTTAAACTTACAGTTTTTGATTGTTCTTCTATATTTTTTAAATCAGAATACAAATAATAGGCTTCTTCATTCTCCTGCCATTTGAAATTTGGTTCAGCTAGTGAAATTGATTTTTGTGAGTCGCCAAAGTCAATGGAATTCTGTAACTGAAGGAAAAAGTTTTAAAAAAAGCACTTGTACATTTTTTTCTTTAATAAATTTTGATTTATTTTATTGTTGGTAATTTTACTATATTTATTAATTATTAAGAGTATAATTATATTTATAATTATTTTATTAAGAGTATATTATTTTTCAATAAATAGAAATTAGTTTATTTCTTTATATTCTTTTTCGGTAAAAATTATTTCCAAAAGATTAAATTTTGCAAAATTCGAAAAAATATTTTTATTCTAAATGGATTTAAAATTATAAATTTACCTCAATTAAACTAAATGTTGGATATAAATCAGGATCCTTCAAATGTACAACTCTGGTTGACTCTACACCGTATTCATATCCTATTGCGTTGAATAAATTTGTATAAACTCGTACAGTAATAGTATTATTTCTGAAATGAAGAAATTATCTTGTAAAATTACTTATAAGAATAAAGACGTAAAATTACAATTAATTGTCTGACACATTAAATTTAATAGTAATTTTTAGTTTCTTACCGAAATGCAGAAATATCGAATGAAGTGAGAAGCCATTTCTCTGTTAGAATAATTGCCCATTTGCAAAAGTCATAATATTGATCCTTTACACTCACTATTGCCTGAAAAGAAAAGACAATTTTAAAATTATTTGAAAAATAATTAACACTTTCTCGTTTGTATTAAAAAGAAATAAAAGAAAAAAATTCAATTTACCATAAAAGGTAGAGACTTTATCACTTTCTTGCTTTCTTCACTAACATCTTGTTTGCCTTAAAATTTTATTTGAAGAAAAAATGAAATTAGGATGAAATGAATAAAATTAGTTTAATTAACAAACATGTAATTAAAAGATAGAAATAAAAAATAAAATTAAAAAATCGAATTAAAAAAATAAGTTAAAAAATAGAATTAAAAAGTAGAATTAAAAAATAGAATTAAAAGATATAATTAAAGAATATCTACAATAAATAAATTCACTAACTTGGATAGGCAAAAACTCCAACAATCAAAAAGAAGAAAAGATATAAGAGCTTCATTATCACATACTAAGAGAAAATCTAAAACAAATAAAAATTTTCGATAATTAATAATTAAATAAATCTAATTTAAATTAAATAAGAAAAAAATGTTACAAAATTAATTTCTATTCACATAAATAAAAAAATACTTTTAGTCAACAATCAGCCGCACGAAAATGACAAATTTTTCTACAAAGAAGCTTTATATAATCGTAGTGATTCTTATAATCTCTCATTCAATTTATCCCTGTTTAAATTAATATTTCCTTATAAGATAATCTCCAAATATTTCAATATGTATTTTCTAACTATAAAAAAAATGCTGTAAAATATTATAATAATAATAATAATTATAAAAATCGGTATTTAACGAATAAAAAGATAGTAATCATTAAACAAACATAATTTAGTTTAGTCTAATAAAATTGTCCCGCTCTAATAAAGTTTTGATTAATAAAAATTTTTTTTTTAGTCTTTTTAGATTTAAGTTACAATTAAATCGAAAATTATAAATTTAAATCGAATTTTTACAATGTGGATTGTGTTTTAACTTTGTCTAAATCTACATTTTACCAAATTTTTTCTTCATCAAATTATATTTGTAATCAATGAAAATATTTGTTTGTAAATGTAAAATCATTTGTTTCAATATTCAAATTACAAAACAAAGTTTTTCAAGAGAAAAAAAAAGACAATAATTCTTAACCTTCGTTTTTTTCACGCAGTGGAAATGGCGCAAGGATTTCTAAATTTTCGTGTTCTCTTTTAGAAAATGTTTTTATACGTTTAAAATATTGTGGGAAGAATTTTTCTTACGAACAATTTCAAATTCCAATGAATTGAAAAAAATTGGTCAAGAATTTTTTTTTATTTTATTTATATTTTTTTTAAATTTTAATTTCATCTATTTGGAATAACAACTCAAAATGGTAAGAATAAAAAATTAAATAAAAATAAAAACTGAATTTCTTTGAATAAATAAATTTGAAAAATAATTGCGAAAGTAAATTTTAAATGCTTAAAGAGTAAATTTAAATTTTAAATCTTAGAAAATTTTGATTGAAAAAATAAAAATGAGTTTTTGAATTAGCGTGAGTGTGTGTCGATTCACATCGGACAAGCTGGAATACAATTAGGAAGTTCGTGTTGGGAACTTTATCTCTTGGAGCATGGAATTAATTTTGATGGATCGGCATCCGAGAATAAAAATATTCCTACAGAATTAGAAAATGATACGTTTTTTCAAAGGTTACAAAATGATAAAATGGTTCCCCGTGCAGTTTTTATTGACCTCGAACCGACAGTAATAGGTAATTAAAATAATTTGTTAAAATAATTAATGTATTTTACTTGATTTCTTAATTTTATTCAATAAAATTCTTTAACTATTTCGTAATTTTACTTATTTTGTAAATTTAATTACTTAGTTAATTTACTTATTTTTTTACTCAGTAAATTTGCTTATTTTGTAAATTTAATTACTTAATAAATTTATTTGAGTAGATTTTTTATTTTGAAATTTAATTATTTTGTTTTTTTAATTATTTTTACTTGTTTAGTAAATTTTTAATTTAGTAAATTTAATTATTCAGTAAATTTGTAATAATAATTAATAAAAAATTAATTATATAGTGAAATTAAAAAATTTTAATACCTTTTTGCAAGACACTATTCGTAGTGGTATTTTTAAAAGCCTCTATCATCCAACTTCTATGATCAATGGAAGCGAGGATGCGGCGAATAATTTCGCCAGGGGATATTATTCAATTGGCAAGAGTATTGTTGAAAAATCCATAGAACGATTGAGAAAAATTTCCGAACAATGTGACAGTTTACAAGGCTTTCTAATCACACACTCCATTGGAGGAGGAACTGGTAGTTGAATATTAATTTCTTGAATCTGAAAATGAAAAATTTTATTTATTTATTTATTTATTTAAATTAAAAATATTTATTTTAGAATTATCAATTTAAAACTAAGACAATCTTTACTAGAAATCTTCTATTGGAAGAGTTCAAAATATTACTATACTAATAAAATTTATCTCCAATTCGAAGATATTTTTTATTAACGAATTAATTTAATTCCAAAACTATTCTTAATGAGAAAAATATTTTTATCGATTTTTTTTAAATAAATAGCATTATGACAATTATAAAAATATTTTTTAATAGACAAAAATAATTCGAAACAAATTTCGGCAAAATGGATTTTTTTTAGAGAATTTAAAATTCTAAAATATTCTGTAGAAAAAATAGTAAAATAAATAAATAGCAAATTGTAAAAAGTATTTAAAAAATATATAATTTATATCAGGCTCAGGATTCACATCTCTTTTAATGGAAAATCTATCGATGCATTTCGAAAAAAGAAGTAAACTTCAAATAGCAATTTATCCGGCACCACAAGTTTCAACTGCAATTGTCGAACCTTATAATACAATTTTAAATACTCACACAACAATGAGTGTGGCTGATACGACATTAATAGTTGACAATGAAGCAATTTACGATATCTGTCATAAAAATTTAAAAGTAGACCGTCCAACTTACACAAATCTTAATCGTCTGATAAGCCAAGTTGTATCCTCAATAACAGCTTCACTTCGATTTAATGGCGCTCTCAACGTTGATCTCATTGAATTTAAAACAAATCTCGTTCCATTTCCACGTATTCGTTTTCCATTAATTGCCTATTCGCCAATTGTACCGGAAAATTCAGTACACAATGATTTTAATGTTGCCGAAATTACCACCGCCTGCTTTGAACCTTGCAATCAATTTGTCAAATGTAATCCACGTCAAGGGAAATACATGGCTTGTTGTATGCTCTATCGTGGAGATGTTGTTCCCAAAGATATTAATCACGCCATTGTTGCTATGAAGAAAAAAAAGTAATCCTTTTATTATTCTAATCTCTATTTACCAGATTTTTTTTATCTCTCTTTAAAACTATAAACTAAATAGAAGATTAAATTTTGAAAAGAAAAATCACTAATTTGATAAATGCGAATTAATGATGTTAATAAATTATCAAATAAGTCATTTCTTAATACATAATTAATTTCCAATTATCAAATTAATGAAAAATTAAATGAAAAAAAGAAAAAAGTAAAGACATTTTTCTCGGAAATTAATTAAATTTATGTACTTTATTTCGAAAAAATAATTGTGAAGGACAATAATTTTAATTTCTAATTTTCATACCGTAGATTTATCCAGTTTGTTGATTGGTGTCCCACGGGTTTTAAAATTGGAATTAACAGTCAATCTCCAATAGTGACTTCTTCATCGGATGCGTTAAAAACACCTCGTGCTTGTTGCATGTTGTCCAATACGACCGCAATTGAAACGGCTTGGAGGCAAGTTAACACGAAATTCGATCTTCTTTTTTCGAAAAGGGCTTTTCTTCATTGGTACGAAGGTGAGGGTATGGAAGAAGCTGAGTTCGCCGAGGCCAGGGAAGATCTAGCAGTTCTTGAAAGGGACTATCAAGAAATCGAGGAAAGCTAAAAAGAACTTGGAAAAATTCTTGAATTTCTATTTAAATTGAATTATTTAACGTTTTGTATACAAACCAGTCGTGTACTTTTTTGTAGTATTTTTTTCTATTTTTGTAGTATTTTTTCTTTTTTCTAGTATTTTTTTTATTAAAAAAATATATATTTATATTAAAATATACCGATTTTTTGAAACATTCTCTTTTCTTTATTTCCATAAATAGTAAAAAATACAGTTAAAAAAACAAGTGTTAGTATAAAAATATTCCAAATCAAACTGTTAGTTTAAATATTAAAATTTAAAACTAAGATTTATTTTACTAAATAGAATTTTATCTATTTTTCAAATTTTTTTTTTTTACTAAATTTTACTCTATTTTACTAAATTAATTTTAATTAGAGAAAAAAAACTTCTCCTTTGTTCATGATTTCAAATTAAAAGATTAAAAAAACAAATTCCTTACTTTAAATATAAAATTTCGTGAATTTTTCTATCCAAATTATTCGGCGAATTATTTTTATCACGATGTACGTTGAATACTGTGAGAATTTTCATTGGTATGCATTCAGTCGTTTTGCATGCGACAATATTGAGGAAAATGTGTATTTTCTCATCTTCTTCACCCGGGGAATATTGCACGTGAATTGGAGTTTCGAGACTACCGGTTAAATTTGTCGTTTCACTCCAGGTCGGTGGCACCTTCAGCGACCATCGCTGAGGAGCTTCGGTGTTTAATTTTAAATTTGATTCGAAAATCAATTTAAAGGAAATAGTCAATTGTCCAGCATTTCTACCGACTGTCGTTTCAAATTCGAATTTTCTATCTGCTTCATATTTTTCCTCTGGCAAAACAATGGTGAGCTATAAAAACGAATAAGTTATGTAAATTTTAATTAGTGTTTGTATACTTTTAAAATTTAATTTTTTTAAATTCTTAAGTTGCAATTAAAATTATGTTTCTAGTTTAAATGTTAATTCTCGTTTAGATTAAATACGTGTTTTTGAGTTTTAATTAAATTATTGTGACTATAGTTTAAATTAACGTTTGTAGTTCAACTTACAGTGTCGATTTTTCCAGTTTCGATGTCAATTGATTTAATGCAGTGATTATTAGTGTCGGCAATGTAAAGAATTGTTTCTGCATTATTTAATGCCAATCCACTGGGTTCATTGAACTGAAAAATATCAAAGAGTATTAATTTTGATATTACAAGCTAAAAATTTGGTTTAGAATTAAATATTATTTTAATTGTTAATTAGTAAAATAATTATTTAAATTGTGTATGGAAATAAATTTTAAATATAAAAAGTATTGAATATTTAAGTTTAAGAAATGGAACCTTGTGATCGAAACTTGGCTTTCCTGCTCCAAATAAAGTTGAGCAATTCCCTTCTGGATCTACTTTTTTAATTTTATGATTATACGTATCAGCAATGTAGACCAATTTTCGGGATGAATCCCAAGCGACTCCAAGTGGATGCTGCAATTTTGCTGAATACTGTTTTCCATCAATATCCCCAAAACAATGCAAATTCTGTGGAGTAAAAAATTATAAATTTCAAAAATTAGAACAATTAGGAGTCCCATAAAGTTTTTGAATTGAGAACTAAAATCAGAAAGTTTGCCAAATGAAAAAGTTTCTAAAAACTCATTTTTTCTTTTCTTTATAATTTTCGACTGTTCTGAATTTAATTTTTTGATTTAATTTCTTTTTAATCAAAAAAATTTTCCTTTATTAAAACTAATTATTCAAAGGTAACTGAAAAGGTAGATAAGAAATAGGAAGAAAAATAATTTTTAATTCGGTATTTAATTTAATATAAAAATAATAATTCTTTAGCAGAAAGTGAAAATTAATTTTTATTAGACTCACCGACGGATTTTTATCAGCTCCACAAACGGCGGAGACTTTTCCATCCTCGAGATGAACTCTTCTAATTGCACTGCTTTCACTGTCAGCAAAGAAAACAGCTCCTAATTCTTGTGAAACTGCAAGACCTGATGGTTGAGCTAAATTTGCCGCATGTGGATAGGAATTATTCCGATTTTCTTCTCTTCCACTTCCGACAATTGCCGCACATGTTCCGGCTTTGTAATTCCTAATTTTGATTGAATTCCGTTTCTTATTAAATTGTAGGCATCATTATATTTTATATAATTATAAAATTACAAAATAATTATAAAATTTCTCAGAGGAAGATAATGAACGAAAAACGTACTTTTTCTTCCACCAAATTGTGTCCTGAAGAAAAAGGGCCCAAATTTGATGAGTACCAGCAATAGCGATCAGTAGCACAGGAACACCGCTCTCAGATTGTTTATGTTGATAAATTGCCACGTCCCACGGTGAAGAGAGAACTTGATCTCTTCCAAGTTTTCCTCCCGAATAATCGTGCCCTTGGGTTCCATTTCCAGCAACAGTGGTAACAGTTTTTGCCACTAAATCTATCTGTAATTTAAATAATTATTTTATCACCTCTGAATCAAAAGACTAGTTAATGCCACAATTATAAAAATAATTGTGGTAATTATTTTTATAATTATTGTAACAATAAAATAATTTGATTTTGTGTCGAAAAAAAACAGTTCTGCATCGAAACAGTTTCCCTTTATCTTTAATTAAATAGAAAGTGTTTAAAGTACAAAGTTTCCCCGTAAGGTTGAAAAATAAAAATTAATTATAAAAATAATTCACTGTGAAAATTTCAGTAAATATTCGTGAGAAATTACCTTTCGTACGGCGTGATTTTCATTATCAGCGACGAAAATCCAATTTTCAAGTGCACAAATTCCCTGAGGAGCATTAAATCTCGCTTTCTCAAAATTACCATCTTCGAAACCGGGCGCACAGCCACCAATAACAATTTCCACTTTTCCAGTTCCGTTCATAATTAAAATTCGATTATTCCCCGTATCGGAGACAATTAATTTTTCACCATTTTCGCTTTTAAATGCATGTATTTTGCCCGGAAAGAGCAAATTTCCTCTGGATGCTGGCAATAAATGCTGGACGGAATTTAAAGGCAATGAATGATTTGATATTTGATTTAATGAATTAAAATAATCAAGTGCAACTCGCACGTAGAGGAATAACAATTCACGGTGTCCTTCTCCAACCAAAACAAATAGCGGCTGCGATTTTGGTCCTGTAAATAAATTTCTTTTTTAATTGAATACACAATGAAAATGGTAAACGTGGAAAATAAACTAAATAAATAAATTAAGTAAATTAAATAAATTAATTAAATGCTACTTTTTTAAAATAATTATTCAAAATTCACCTAAAATAACAAGACTTGGCCAGCAAGATATTCCAATATCGCGCCACATGGACAATTGACTATCGTTTACCACTGGATGTCCTATGTTATAGCGTTGCACCGCTGATAAAATTTTCTCCGAGTTCCTCTCGTTAGCAAATTTCGCGCTGTGAACTCCAATCTAAAATTATTTTTTAAAAATATGAAATTTTATTATTTAGGTATATATTGAAATAAAATTTCATTTATTTGGAATTAAATACAAACCATATTTTAAATAAAAAATATCTAATGTTTTTAAAAACGAAAAAATTAAATTTTCGTCAAGTTAAAATCATTCCCAATTTTTATGTGCATAAATTTTTTAGAAATTGATAATTAATAATTTTTACTTAAAAGACAATTGTTCAAAAATAACATGAATTTGAAGACAAAATAAAATAAATCGTTTCACTATTTTGATATTTTCGTTTTTAAAAATGTGTCGAATTTCAGCCTCGTATTTTTTTTTTTTGTAAAAATTAAAATACATACAACTGCAAGTCCATCTTCAATTGAATATTTCTTCTCAAGGGCATCCAAATCAGGTAGAATGTGCATACAATTGATGCAACAATACGTGAAAAAGTCAAGAATCGTAATTTTTCCAGCAAGATGTTTCACAACGGATAATTCCTCCGAGACATTGCACCATTCCAAACCTATTTGAAAAAAAACATTTACAAATTAAATCAAACAGAAATCTAAAAGTACGGACATTTTTTTGAAAACACTATTGAAATTGTATATCTTTATACCTTTATTCAATTTTATTGCTTTCCCTTCTTGAAAAATTGCTAATTAACTTTTTTCTTACACTCTAGTATTAATATTATAAATTTATTATTATAAATTTACATCCTTGAAATAAATACAAATTTTAGATGTAGAAAATTCTTGATTTTTATTCAAATTGTATTCATTGTCATATAACAATTTTTTTCATCGAGGTACAATTTTTTTTGTCCATGTTCTTATTTTTAATGTGAAACGTTCTACACGAACTTTTTATATATAGAACGAAGGAAAATAAAAAATAAACTTTATGAAATCAAGTAAAAATATAACTTGATAATTTCATTACCATTGAAGTAGTAATGAATGAAAAATAAAAAGTAGTATAGTAAAGGAAAACTTAAATGGGAAGAAAAATATGAAATGAAAAAGTATTTGGAGAAAAATTACATTTTTCCCTCTTTTATAATATAATTATAAATTAACGTTATTTTAGAGAGATATTTGTTTAGTAATTTTCTTTTAGAAAGATATGTGTATATTTATAAACGAATTAATAAATTTAACGTGATTCGAAAATAAAAAGTGAATTCATTCGTCGGCAGTTGGTAAATTGTATTCTTTGTGCAAACTGGCAATTGTAACTTCTCGCATTGTTGCCAAAGCACCCAAAACAACTTGAGCCGCATCCTTGATATTATTATACTCGTGGAGATAATTCATTGTCGTTTGTTTCGATGGAACGGCATCTAATTCGGTTCTTAATTTCGATAATTCCTCATCTAATTCTTCTTCAAGTAGCAATAATTTTAAATACGTATCCTTTTCTTTTTTACTCAAAATATTTTTCTCGTCAACTTTTGGCGATGATGAAATATCTTCCTTTTTACCATCAATCTTTACTTCCTTTAAGTTATCTTCGTTTACTTCTTTCGAATCTTCTTTTTCAATTTCTTTCACATTCCTCTCGTCTTCTTCAATTAATTTTCGCTTTAAATTTGAAGATGAACTATTTAATGAAAAGTCATTCTTCTTATTTGTCTCCATTGCCTCTAAATTTGATTTACAAGTTTCATCCTCAATCAAGTGTTCTTTCATAAGAGAACTATTTAAGGGATCTGCTGATAAACGTAATCTGAGTGAAGGTTCGACATCAAAACTTGATTGTTTATCATTATCCAAAATTGAAGTCATTTTATTGAGAATTGCCTACAATTTAATAAAAAACAAAATACAAAAAATCACCAATATTTTTAAATAAACTTAAATAAAAAAAAATTGACAATAAAAATGTAAACAAAACAAAGAGTACCTATAACAATTGCAGTTTTGATTTAATTTTTAGAATTCAAAATAAATAAACATTAACAATTTTTTAAATATCATCAATTTACCTGTAAATCTCGAAAATTGGAGGTTTATTATAATAATTAAAACATATAAAAATGGAAAGAATTATAACAACGTCTATCATGCGAGGGTAAATAAAACGGATCAACAGATCAAGTTCCTAACCTAGAAATAAAGGCGTGTGCTGCTGCGTCACTGAACGTGACAAATAATGAAAATATATAAATAACTTTTTCTCGAAGGGAGGCAAAGCAGGCAAAGTAAAGAGGATGAATTTAGAAAGTTTACCTTTTTGAAAGTCACAAATTCGTATATCAGTGTCGGCAAACTCCTTGATATGTTTTAAAACAATATTTTCCTTTTCTTTTTGATCCAGAGATTTGATATTATGACGGAGATTCATGCAAATCTCTGTCAAGTCCTCAATTGTATCTTGAACACTCATTTTCTTATTTTCACCAGAACCACATAACATACGAAAATAAAAAGAATTCATAAAGAAAAATACTAAAATAACACTAACATAAAACTTATGTAAACGCTTCTTTTTTTACCACCCATTTTGACACACTCTCATGAATTATCCATGAATTTTCCAAATTAGTGGAAAGCGTCTTATTGCCATATAAAACGTCAATGTGAGAATTTTCATTTCAAACTATTTATTATCAACTATTTCGAAAATTTATTGTTATATTTACTCTGTTAATTTGTTATTTTTAAAACAAGGTTAAAATCATTAAAATTAATAATTTTTCACTTCTCCTTACTTTTCTGACATTCGATTTGTTTAAATAGTATAAATTCGAGATAAGAATAATAAAATTAAAAAAGTCCATATTTATTCAGTTAAATAAGATTAGATTACTTTTAAATATTACTTTTTTTTATAAACTTAAAGAATGTTTACATTCCCGCCAAAATGTTAGCCTGAGGTGGGTAAAGTAGAAAGTATTTTCATTGTTACCCACTTGCGGTAATAACCTGAAGTTAGTCAAAACAAAAATGTCTAGAATTGAAAAGTAAAAAGTGTTTTTCGTTTTTAATTCTATTTTCGTGAATATACAACCTGTTCACCATTAAAATTATCACAGATTCATCTCGAGAAATTGAAAATTCATCCTTGAGATATAATGCATCTTTTTATTACAAAAGAATACAGCAACAATGATAAAAAAACAAGTGTTCTGATTTTGAGGTTATGTTTAGCTCCGCAAATCCAGCGGAAACTTTCAAACCTTTTAAACTCTCGGTAAATATAAAAATACACAGTGAAAACAACAAAAAAATGTAATAATAATAGTAATTTATTTATTTTTATAAACTTATATTTAAAACTTTGGAAATAAATTTAAATATTTATCATATTTATATACATAAAGAAATATTGTTTGGGACTTTTTTTTCAGACTTCGTTGCTGCTGACGCTTTTGCATATTCCACCTGCTCTACGATCGCAGACTAAACCATCTTCGCAAGGGCACATAATATAATGGACATTCCATATTGTCAATTGATTTCCATTCGGATAACTTAATGTTGTATTGATAATATTAATCGATGGCTTACAAACTAGTCCTTCTTTAATCATTGGACTACAAGTTGGAATACTGTATCTAGTTGGTTCTATAAAAAAATAATTTCAAGTAAGTAATAATAATTTCAATAATAAAACTTATTAAATAAAGTAATTATAATTAATAACAATAACCAATTTTTAAAATAATACAATTAGAAAAAAAGCATTTTTTTTTTATTTTGAATACAAAATTATTGATTTATCTTAGAATTTTGTTTGTCCTCGATTTTCTAAGACAAAAAAGATTATAATTAAATTTATAACTTACGCAATGTACAACAATATCCTGCAGGGCATTCTTCACTACTTTTACACGTCCTATCGAGTTGAGCAGTTGAGAAAACCATTGCTGTCATCACAATGACAAGAATGGATGAGATTATTTGTCTCGTCATGATTTCACTTCTCTCGAATTCTGTAATGAAAATTTAATCTCATCTTCAGTTCTATATTATAGTTGTTTTTTTAAAGCTAATAATCATTCTTTCATTGTTAGCCACACGGTTGTATTATATACCCCATACTGAGATTTATATCAATATTTCATTCTTTTTTTTAAATGAAAAAAAACCTGATGGCGTCATCACTAGCAAAATTTAAATTCTCTTACTTGACAAACGCGACATTTATGGCGAACAATGTCTTGCTATAATACATAAAATTCGTCATTCCACCGAGTATATTTTCGTACAATTTTTTTTTCGCGCTCAGATCAATTTTCTTCTTGCATTGATTTAATTTTTCTTTCTAAAAACAAAATTTAGAATAGTAATTTATTCTTTTTTTCTAAACAAAAAAAAAAATTGAACAAGAAAATATTTAAAAACAAAAATAAAAGAGTTCGGAAGTTTATCGTTCAGATTGTTATTTAAACTAAATTCTGATTAATATTTTTCATTATTATTGAAATAATTTTTTCTCCTTGGATCTAATTAAGTCCATAGTTCAAAATTATCGAGAAGGCGTAATAATTAAAAATAGTTGTTAAATTTATTAAAATAATAACATTTACAGACAAGTGAATAATTTTATAGTTTTTTTTCCTCTTTTTTTTCTTATTCCATGTTTATAATTATCGCGTAAACTTGATTTCTATAATATTCGTCCTTCACCTTGCATGCGAACAAACGTTGATTATGACGATCAAAGATTGAGTTATATTGTATTTTAGAATGTAAAATAAGTTGTTACGAAATTTTTCTTTTTTTTCGTTTCAAAACAATAGTTTTTTTTTAATCTATCTAATGAATTAAACAAATTTCATGCGTGTGCTTAGAGAAATCCCCCGTCATTGTATAAATAACAATCTGGAAAAACCAACTTTGCGCTAATTTTTTCAAGTGTAAAAATTCAATTAAAATTGCAAATTTATTCTTTGGTGAAAATACTAATTTTAATTAATTTAAATACTAATTTAAAAAAATTGTCTATAAATAAACAAGTAATTAAGTCTAAAATCTAAATTATCAAAAAAGAAAAATTAAATCAATGCTTAATTAAATATATTGAAAATTTATTCAATTATTTATTATTTCAAGATTTTTATTCATTATAAGATTGTAGAAAATTTCCTTCCAAATTATTTCTTTGTAAAATTATTAATAGTATTATTATTATTATTATTTTTATTATTGTGAACATTATTATTGTTTTTTTATTTTTATTATTGTTAATATTTGTATTTTTATTATTATTTTGTTATTATAATTATAATTATTTTAATAATTTTATTATTTTAATTATTAACTTTTCATTATTTTAATAAAGTTATTATTTTAATTATTAACTTTTAATTAAAATCACTTTTAAATTTCCATTAAAAAGAAATTGTTTCAATTCCTATCGAAGTGTAATTGAAAATTAATTTTGAAAATTAAATGCATGATTAAAAATCATGCGTGGAAAAAAAATAAAGAATAACAAACCTGTGCGCGCGAGGTGAACTTAACAAAAACTGAGAAGTATATGATTGTCCAATCTTGGAGTTTCATATATATACGAAAGTACTTAACTCGTTTTAACTATATGATTAATTCTCCTTCCACAGAATAACGTATAGAAATGTGATCATCTTGGATCTTTTTTTTTTCTTTTTTTTTTTTTTATTGTTTTCGAGTTTTTTTTCCTGCAATTAAATCTGAATTTTATTTTTGTTTAAAAAACAATTCGTCAACTATACTCAGTAAATAAAATAAAAAAACGATAATCTTTATTTCTGAAATTAAATGATTAGAAAATTTTTTTCAAAATTCTCTCTTGATTTCTCTGTTAATTCGTTATTTTCTTTTTCTATAAACGTTTTAATAGAGAAGATAGAAATTGGAAATTAATTCATTAGTCACTCAATGGAAATAATAATAAATAATAATGATAATATATAATAATAAATAATAATAATAATAATAATAATAATTGGTACTAAAATTAAAATATTAAAATAAAAAACGGAAAAATAAAAATAAAACCTAATAATAAAAATATGATAATAATAAATTTCGTGAAGAATATTTTTAGTTTTTCAATTCTAATATTTAATTAAATATATTCGAAGAATTAATTCTTCAGCAGCTTCATGAAATGTGCCAATTGTAGACTTTTCCGAATGAATAAATTTAATTTTTCTAAACAATCAAAGACATAATAAATTTCTGTGAAATCGGATTTAAAATCAATCAGTTAAAAGCAGTTGAAAAATTAATTAATCAGCATTTTATATTCTTGAAATTTTCAATTTATTCAAATTTTTCATTAATTTCCTATTATTAAAAATTTAAATTAATTTTTTTTTAAATGTAGTAATATTGTAAGCAAATTTAATTATTTTTTTCCACTGCTTTTCCTGTTTTTCAAGAGATAACATTGTCGAAATTTATACCTGTCATTACTTTCTTTCGTTTTTTTTGCAAAAAAAAAAAAAATATTTCCTCATATATGATTTTTTCTTTATTCAGTCAAAAAATATGAGAAATTTTTTTTCCTGTTTTTGAAATGATAAGATTAGAAATATTAAAATTATTTTTACTTATTTGCTTTGGAAAATTTGTCTCCTTGAAATTTTTCTTCACCATCCTTGTATCGGTTTTGATTTATTTTAATTTTATGATAAAAAAAGTATTTAAAAAAAAATCAAGAGCTTACTTTTTGATATAATATTTTCATGATATATTTTATTCTTTACTTTAAAAAATTGCGAAAAACAGATAAGATTTTTTATAAACAAAGAGCTAGGTAAAAATTAACATTTCTTTAGGTAAACAATAAAGACGATTTTTTAAAACTACAATATTATAGAAATTCATTGATTAAAAATTAAATATATAATAATATTGCAAGAAAAAAAATTTATGCAATAAATTAAGTTTTCTAGAGAAAAAAGTGTAATTATGTAGATTAAATTCAACATTCAATTTTCATTCAAGAATAATTTAATTTTTAATTAAAATTAGTGAATTACAGAAGATTTTTTTTATGCTTTAAATAATTATGCTTATTTTATGCATGTAAAGAGTGCATTCAATGAAAATTTTACTTATCCTGCGTTCAACAAGTTAGAAAAAACTTTTTTTTTTCTTCTTCATTTCAACAAGATTTTGATTTCACAAATACATATCTATAAAAATTTTAAAATAACGGAACCATTGTATTCATAATTATAGTTTTCTTTGTTATTGTTAAAAAAAGAAACAATAACAAAAATAATGTATATATATAAACAATTTCGTGAAAATTAAAATCTAAAAAAAAGATTTGAAAATCTCTTTAAAAATTAATTGTTTCTTTCTTTTTTTTAAATGCTGCTAATTTAGTTTCTTTTTAGAGTACTTGCGTCTAAAAAATTTATAACTTCGATCGTGTTCCTTTTCTTGGAATATTATCGAATGGTTGCGCAAGTGGATAAAGTGAATGATTTGATTTAAAGGCAACAATGTCAGTAATTCGAATTGGTTGTTGATCTTCATTTTTCTTCGTTGCTCCGGTTTCCTCTTGCAATCCAGAACCACCTTCTGCCATTGAAATCACATGAACCGATAATTTTTGTCGAAATTGCGAATCATCATTTATGTAATTCTGAAATTAATATTTTTGAAATTATTTTTCACATAAATAAATTACAGAAATTACATAATTTAAAAAAGTAATGAAAACATAATTTCCACAATTGGGTAATTTTCAATTTCTGTTCTGAAAATTTTCTTAAATTACCTCGTAGAATTTAAGTATTTGTTCTTTAGTTATTGTCCGCAAGTACGCAACTTCGATATTAACTCGATCGAAATTGTACAATTGAGATGAAATTTCATGCCAAAAAATAGAGGAAAGTGTTGACATTATCTTCGGTTTTTCCAGTCGATTAACGGCTAGTGATTCCTTATGTTTGTTGAATTGTTCCTCTGTCATATTTTCGATATGATCCTGTTTGAAAAAATATATTTCGTGTAATTGTGTACAAAAATAAAGAATTAATTATTTAATTTTTTTTCACAAACCTGCATCGATTTCATAAATAAATCCATTCGTTCCTCAACATATTGAGGATGTTTATCGCTTTGTACAATTAATCTTAAACCTTGTGTGCCATTTGTTCTTCTCAGTCCACTCCAAACAATGTAACCCAATTGTTCATCCGTTCTCAAAACCGTGAAACATGGTTCGGAAATTATTTGCGAAAATAATTCCAAAAGCATATTCGCTTCTGTCGATTGCAATCCGGTTTGATAATAAATTTCCGTGCACGATGGTTTATGTAGTTTATTTTCCGTTTCGTACAAAAAGTGTGAGCCTGCAATAATTGAAATTCGTTAAATAATCAATTCTTTAATAATTAATATTATTGAAATTAAGATTGAAATTAAGAAACGAATGAATTATTAAATAATTATCTTTAATAATTCATTCGTTTCTTTGAAAAAAAAGAATTAAATGAAATATTGAAGGAAATTAATAAGAATGTTTTCTCTCACCTCGTTCTAGACTAACTTCTCGAAATAGAACTAATTGCATAGGCAACAATGGTATTATATTTCCTTTATTGCAATCGTTTGGACTTGTTAGCTTTGATTCGACAAAGGAGGCAATTTTTAGTCCTTCGTCTTTTGTAACGTTTCCATGAATCAAGCATTCCACGTGTATTTTTGATAGTAGTTGTGGTATAAAATCCCGTACGCTTTCAACCGTTAATTCTATGGAAAATAGGATCAAGTTCAAGTAATCAGACAATTAATAATTAGGAATTAATAAGTGCTAATAATTATTTATAGTTTCCATTTGAATAAGGAGAAAATATTATATTTATAGCGAAACTTACGAGCACATGCGTCCAGTAAATCATGCGTAACCCAAACTTGTTCCAATAATAATACTGAGAGATAATAAACTGCATGTTGATACGGCTGTTCAGCGTCGAAATTTTTTAAGCCCCTCATATACTAAAAATTAATGAGTTCAATTAAAATTTTTCCATTTATTCAATAAATAAAGTTATGAATTTAATAATTATGTTTCTAAAGCTCTGAATATTCAAATGAACGAAATTTATTTATTTTATCTTCAAATTGAAATTTTATTATAATAATATAATTTTTTGCAAGAATTCAATTATTTTCATAAATAATGACATTCTTCGAAAGAATTTAATTATTTTTATAAATAGTAAAAATTTTTGCCAAAATTCAATTTTTTCAAATTTTAAAAAATTTTTCACAATTCAATAAAATCTTTGCAAAAATTCAATTATTTTCAATAAAATTTCACGAAAGAATTCAATTTTTTTTAATTCGTTATAAAATTTTTCAAAATAATTTAATTATTTTCTAAAATTTGTTTTACACCTTCGAAACAATTCAAGTATTCTTATAAATAGTAAAATTCTTTGCAAAAATTAAATTATTTTTAATACAATTTTAAAAATATTTCATGAAAGAATTAAATTATTTTTTAAATAGTAGGTAAAATATTTGCAAAAATTTAATTATTTTCTAACATTTTAATAAATACTTCGAAACAATTCAATTTTTTTAATTTTTAATAAAATTTTTCGAAAGAATTCAATTATTTTAGAAAATAGTCATAAAATTCTGAGAAGAATTTATTTATTTTCTAAAAATTTTAATAAAATTCAATAATTAAATTGTTTAATTCCAATTATTAAGAAACACAATTTTTTTAAAAACTTGAAAGAAATTATTCATAAAATTCAATTACTTTAAAAATTTTCCATAAAAATTATTAAAGAAATTCTATTATTTAAAAAAAAATTGAAATTAATTCTTCAAAAGAATTTAATTAGGATTTTCAAAAATTTTAATAAAATTCTGGTCAAGAATTCAATTATTTTCATAAATAATAAAATGCTTTGCAGAAATTCAATTATTTTTTTAAATAGTAAAATATTTGCAAAAATTCAATGATTTTCAATATATTAATTTTAAAATTGAAAATATTTAAAATAGGAAAATTATTTAAAAATTTAGGAAACAAGAAAGTAAACAACAACTAACTTCAAACTGCGAACAGATTACCGGAAGACGATTATAATAATAAATGAAAATAATTTAGTAAAAAATATTTTGTTCATTGAAACGTTCAAAACTTGTGCGTCATTAATAATTGTAATTTTATCTAATTTTATAATTCTTTTGTCAGTTAAATCAGTTAAATTAATTTTTTTATACTAACATTTTCCTTCAAGATCTCAAATCTCTTCTCATCAATTTTGAAATTCATCATTTTGTCCATAATTTTATCCAGTAGAACGAGTTGCTTGTGATCGTAGCCCCCGATCGAAAGCTAAAATATAAATTAAATGAGAAAAATATTTCTTTTTAAAAATTGTACGTGAGAAAAATATTTTTTATTACTTACGTTTATACCGTATTTACTATTACTGAGCTCGTACTTCAAACCAGCCAATTCGGCTGAATAGGTATATTCGTTTAGTGCGTCTCGGAATAATTGCACAAACATGTAAGTGTTATTGCAACTCATTGGATCGATGTAAGCTAGGGGACTGAAAGTGTAAATAGAAATTTATAATTTTTTTCCTTTCTTTACAAAAAATATTTTCTATATTGAAAAAAAGTTTAATAATAAAATATTCACCTGACAAAATCAAAAGTTATATTTGCTTTTGGTAAACGAAACTCGTCATCCTGCTTGAACCAAACCCTCATTAACGGAGTGTCTTCAATTATTGAAGGATATTTATCAATCTGTAAATAAGAAGCATTATTTACTATTTTCAAAAACTTAATGCAATTCTAATATTGTTTTATAAATTCTTTTCTAATTGTTTTATTTTAAATATTTGCAACTTAGTAAATAATTCGGTATTATCTTTGAGGTTGAAGTCCGCAATGTTTTTAAAACCAAAAAAGAATTTCGCATTTTTTCGTTTTTTTAAACGTTGTGGACTTCAGTCGCATATATTTATTTTCTTTAAAATTTTAAAAATAACTTACAACAGAATTCTCCAGTTTTAAATCAAATTTAGTGGGAATAAATTCATTGTTAGCTGGCAATTTCAATTCAGAATTGTAACCAGCATTCCTCCATTTTTTAATAACATTTTCGGGTATTTTTTCTTTTTTAAATTTTGTTTTGTACCAGGGTTCAACGTCAGTGGCAATATTCTCATAAGCTTGGGCCATAACGTGAATACGAATATTTTCCGGAGTCAAATAACCAAGGACCATTTTAACAAGATCTGGTTTCCATTCCAAAAACAGAGCTGATGCTGTAAGTATTTCTTCAATTGGATACTCCGGCAAAGATTTTGCTATAAAATGCACGTAGCTACAGGGCGACGATTTTTCCTTAAAACGGAAATTCATTTGCGAAATGTCTCTAATTTCCTGCAACAAACATTTCGTTAGAATTAAATAATAGTAAAATATTAATAGTTTTTAAATATTAATAGTTAAATATTAATAGTAAAATATTAATAGTAATGAAATAATTACATTGTACAAACGCTCCAGAGGTCCTTCCTTTTTAATCATGTTAATATATTGGAAGACTAAGGTGATAATATCGTCAATATGATTGAGACCCTCTTCCGTAAGATCAACGCAGACGTTGAAAAAATTGAAACCTCGAGCACCTGGTTTTCCACCGGATACCAAGGAATTACTCCAGCCCTTTGCTTTCAAAAACGAAAGCAGTGAACCTTCTCCTTCGTGGCCCAATAAATGCGACAAATAACTCACGGGCTAAAAAGAAATTGGAACAATCATAATTTTGAAAATTTCTAGTAATAAAAAATTGTAGTACTACAAAATTACTAATAGGAAAAGTATATTTTGAAAGTAAATATTGATAAACTTACAGAAGATCGATAATGTTCTCGTAAATCCGGAATATAAAATGTCATACCCAAATTTCGAACGTCCTTAATCGGTACAACGTACCATTTGCTCTTAAATTGTTCCTCATTGAAAGGATGTTCCGTCCACTTGGGCGCTTCTATATTTTTATTCTCAATATCAGAGAATAATTTTATAACCATTTTTTCCAGTTCGTCCAAACTCTCTGAAATTTTCAAAATACTTTATTTAATACTTAATTAATTTTTTATATTAATTAATTAATTAATTTATATTAATTAATTTTAATTAATACGGTTGTTAAAATTGCAAGAATTTTTATCCAGTGAAAGGGACATTTTCATTTATGGAAATAATAGAAGAAAAAATGAAATTAAACCTTTTCCAAGAACACTGAGAGCCATGACATTTGACGAATACCATTTATTGTGAAAATTCAATAACTCCTGTCGAATATTAATGTTTTTCTGTTTTGGTATAATCTCAAGTGTCTCTAAACTGCCAGTGCCAAAATGTGAATATGGATGATTTGGATTTGCCGACGATTTATCAAGTTGATTCCAACGCCACGTGTCATTTGCTAAATTCTTCTCGTGCTCTGAATTCACGGCTTTTATTTCACGCTCTGTATTTGATTCAGTGAATAGTGGTTCGAGAAAAAATTGCGCAAAACGATCCAATGCACCCTCGAGATTATCGGTGTTGACGTCAAAATAGTAACAGGTATTATCGGGATATGTGAGGGCATTTGAGTGTCCGCCGTTTTGTGAAAGATAGGTGTGATATTCATTTTGTTCTGGATATTTTTTCGTTCCAAGGAACAGCATGTGTTCGCAAAAATGCGCTAAACCTTGCACCTCACGGGGATCACTTAGATGACCTTAAAAATTATTAAAAAATAAATTTAATTAATATTTATATTTCTATTTTTTCTACCTGAACTGTGGCAACCCTGATAAAAATGATATCAAAATTATTGCTCACCAACTTGAACATCGAGTGCTGCGGCACTTTTGTCCGTTGTCGGATCGCTAATCAACAGGACTTTCATATCATTAGACAATGTAAGGCCTCTATAGTCCTTTTTATCATTCGGTGATTTTTCAATTTTGTCAGTTCGAAATTTGACCTTTTCCTGACACGAATCTTTTCCTGTGATGGATTTCATCTCTAAGGACATTTGTCTGAAAAGAGCATAAACTTGAATTAGTAGAATAACAATAGTCAGCAATAATAATAAAAATAGTAGAAATAATAATAATAATAAAATTAGAACTAATATTAAAAATAATAACAATTAAAAATTGAAATAATAGTAAAAATAATAATAAAAATAGAAATATTACTGAAGATAATAATAAAAATAATAGTGAAAACAACAGTAAAAATAGAAATAATAATAAAAATAGAAATAACAGTAAAAATAATTACACCAATAACTGTTAAAAGTATTTGGTAATAATTACAATCAGGTTAGGTCAATAATACATTTTCAAAATAAATAATTAAAATTATTTTGAATTTGACAAAAATTCTTACTTGCAAGAAGATGAATCCGTTAGTAAATTGTCAACGTTTTCACTAAACGACGTCATTTTATTCGAATCAGTATAAATAACAAATTGTCATCAAGGAAGTATCCTATATGAACAAGGAAATTGACATGTTATTTTCTTTATTATGAATAAATGCGCGACAGAGAAAAGTGTAATTAACATTATTTGGTAAATTTAATTTTTAAAAAGTATTTTATTTACAAAAATAAGTTTAATAAATAATTAGAAACACATATTAAAATGTTATTTTAACGATAAAGAAAAGGTTCTTTTTGTCGAATTCCTCATACTATAAAGATAGTAAGGTTATAAAATTAAATATCATATTAATTTCTAAAATACACTTACTTGTAACTGATTCATTCAATAACAACAACAAAAAAATTAAAAACTTAAATAAGTAATAATTTTTGTCAAAAGTATTATTATTATATTAAAAATAGAGCAGCAGACAAATAGATCACCAGCTGTTTTCTTTCAATTTTCAGAGAGGATCGGATCGACAACTAACCTCAAAAAAACAGATGTCGATACTAATTGTATTTTAAATACGCGACTTACCTCATCAAATTTAGTGACTTTACTGGAAAGGAAAATGTGGATCGACACTTTATTATTCTAATTAAAAACATTTGTGAGAGACTAACTGTTATTCGTGAATTTTGAAATATGGAAGAGTTCGTCTTTATCCTAAATCCAAGTGAAGTTGACCATTTTTCACCATACAAGGTAATTTTTTTTGTCACTATTTAAATATTTGCGCGTAAAAAAATGATGACACATTATGTCATTTCCATTTTTAAATTTATTTTTCTTGTGGATTAGGTTTGGAAAATGATGAAATAAAAAAGCATGAGTCGTCAGTAAAAAAAGCATTTTGTATTATATTTAACGGTACATATTTTTAAAAGGTCAATGATAAAGACAAAAAAAAATACTCGTTGATTCACAGAAATAAAGGAAAAAATTTCTGTGAAGTGCATTTAGAAAAGTTAATTTAAATTTCGAATTGTGTTGTATTTTTCTAAATTATTACATCGGTCTGCCCATTCCACGTCCTCCGCCCTGTTGTTGTTGTTGACTGGAAGGATTTTTAATTGTCTCATCGACCGAGAGAATAAGGCAAGCGGCTTCGCATGCTGCAATCAATGCATTAATTTTTACAATCGCCGGTTCCCAAACGCAAGCTTCCATGTTGTCGGCGATATCTTCATTGACAATGTCCACTCCGTACCAACATTTTCCCATGTGATGCTTTTGTCGCAGTTTGTTGAGAATATTTGTTGCATCAAAGCCAGCGTTGTCACAAAGTTGCCTGGAATTAATAAATTTTATGTTAAATTCAATTTGAATTGAATTAAAATGGGTTGAAAATTCAAAAAAGAGAAAATTTCGAGTTCCTTTCAGGGAGATTTCGTACCTTGGTATAATTTCGAGAGCGCGAGCAATAGCTCCAATGATTAATTGCTCCTTTCCTGCAATTACACGCGAATAATCGCGAAGAGTTTTCGAGAGTTCCATTTCAATTGCCCCACCGCCAGCGACGACGGCATCGTTTTTAATCATACGTCTCACAATCATGATAGCGTCATGCAAAGATCTCTCGGTCTCCTCCAAAAATTGTTCGGCACCACCTCTCAATACAAAGGTGCAAGTTTTTGCATTTGGACAACCCGCGAAGAAATTGAATCTAAAAAGAATATTTTCAATATTGTTATAGTTATTAAATCGGTTTTGTTAGTATTGTTGTTCAAATAGTTCCAAATTATTTATTTTTATCTTCTTATTAGAGTTAGAATTCATTTACCTTTCTCCGCCAATTTGCTTCTCCTCGAAGGATTCACATTTGCCGAGAGCATTTTCATTGATATCGTGAACGGTTGTCATCACAGCGCCTCCACAAGCCTTCATTGTTCGTTTAAGATCCTCATCGGCAACTCTTCCTGCACAGAACATATCTCGATCGGCGAAATATTGTGTTGCTACGTCGCCAATTGGCAATTTTGACAGGACAACATTTGCTCCACTCTTGGCAATTTTCTCCAATTTTTGATAGAGAATTTGCCATTCGGCGTCGACAATTTTTTGATATTCCGCTACACTGTCGACACGAACTTCAGCATTGTCGCGTTCTGCTTTCAATTCCAACTCAATGTTCAATAAGGCAATTTTACAGGGAGAATATTTTTTCGGCTGCATTTCGAATCCGGCGTATGAGAATGTTTTTTTGAAAGCCACACCGGCGACGAGGAGCGATTCCTCTAAACCTCCACCGGAAACCTGGGATTTTTGTTTAATGTTAATTTTCATTAATTTCTATTTATTTTTGGGTAAATAATACTTCACATTTTGGTAAATTTAGTAAATTTTACATTTTCATTTTGTATTCGTGAAAAAGGAGAAGAAAATAATAAATGAGAAACGTACCTTCTTGATTCCAATCATATTGAGAGGTAACAAATCATCAAGTAAAAGAACCGCATCGACGACCATTTTACTGAAAAATTCCTTCTGTTGATGAATTAATTTTGAATTCATAGCTGTAGCGGAGCACTCCTCGAGAAGTGATCTCTGTTTTGGAAGATCAGAATTGTCGATCTTGATACTAAGTGTTTTTATTTTCTCAATTGCCATATCGATTGCTTGACGGAAGGACTTGATGATAATTCTTGGATGAACGCCCTCTTCGATAAATGGTTTCACTTGCTTCAAAAATTCGGCCGCAAGAAGTACAACACTGGTCGTGCCATCGCCAATCTATTAATCATTAAATTATTTAAAAACAAAAATTAGTCAAAATTTTCCCACTAGTTTTTGAATTTAAAAAAAATTTATTTTATTTCAGTCTTTCATTTTTACAGGGTTACCACAAAAATTAAATTTTGTTTTTCCCTGGTTTCCAGACAAAATTTAATTTTGTCCTTTTCCCTGACGCTAAAGAATATTTTGATTCACTCTCAAAATATGTAATTGTAAAATTATTCGAAAACATGAATAGCTTTGTTTAAAATAAATATTTAACCATTATTATTTTTCCATGGGAATTAAGATTTTCAAAAAATTTAAATTCGAACCTTTTGAAATTCAATAACTTATAAGAATATTTATTATAAAACATATATGGGTGATTCTCCACAAAGTGGTAACTTTTGAGTATGTTAAAATATTTTTTTTTAATTAAATTTTTTGGAAATTTTTTATTTAGATCATTTTAATAAAGCTTCAGAATGATTATTTTATAGATATTTGAGCTTAATTCTTTCTTTAGTTTTATATACAAACAATTTAAAAATTTGTAATTTAAAGGTTAAATAATTTATTTGAAAAAGTTAATTTTCGACTGTTAATAATTATAAATAGTGTAAATAAGCAAATAATTACTTTAAACTGCTTTAATTAATAAATAAATAATATTTTTACTCATACCTGTTATTGAAATTACATGTTTTGAATTTTTGATACAGGTCAATCGAGGTTAATTGTATTCATTCAAAAAAACAAAACACTTACATTACGCGAAACGAAATTAGGAACTGGAGTTTACAGGAACTGGAGTTTACAAATCAAAGAAAAAAATTCATTAAAACCGTAAAAATTCATAAAAATAAACAATTTTTGCAGATTATTAAAGAGATTTGCTTACTCTAAATCACTATTATTTTTATTTTTTTTTATACATTTAGAATTCGGTAATTTTGGCGGAACTGGAGTTTACATACCATTAAAATACGCTATAAAATAATAGTAACTTTTGTAGTTTTAAATCTAAAAATTATATTTCTTTTTGCAAATTTAACATAAATACAACTTATTAACTTAATAATATTAATGGCAAATAAAATCGCACTAAAAAAGGGAATAAAATTAATGAAAATCAATGAAATTGTAAACTCCAGTTCCAAATAAAAAAAAGTGGAGAAAAAATTAAAAAATTATTTTTACACAGATTTGTTAATGGAAATTAGAAAACGACACACAAAAACTTAGTTTTTGAGATGAACTTTCGAATAGAATAAATAAAAAAACGTTTAAAATAAAGTTTGTGCAAAATAAAACATATTAAACTTCATGATTCATGTGTGGAGAAACGACAAATGTGCGTTTTTTGAACATTTGCAATTGAATTACAACTTTTGTTTTAAAATAAAATTTTTTTTCGATTATGATATTACTAAAAAACATATTGAAGATTAATTATGCAAAAGGTTGAAGTAGATTTGATAACAATTTTTCAAGATATAAAATAGGGAACAGTGGGGAAGCAAAAGTGACCACTGATTGAAGAATCACCCATATCTTTTATAGGTGACAGAATGATAAAATCATTACTTATTCTATATTTCAAGAATATTGTTTCTGTAACTTCTTCAAAATTATTTTCATCACTTCAATTCAATTATTATTTTCTAGAATATTTAACTAAAATTTTTCTTTAAATCAATTATTTTTAATAATTTTTCGACAAAGTTCTTTGAGAATTTTCAAATCCATTTGTTTACAATTCAATTTTACGTGAAATTTCGATTCTTTGGAAATTCTTCAATTAAATATACATTACAAAATAAAAACCTTAAAAAATTTTTTTAAAAAATTCAGATCTACTTTTTCAAAAAAATTAATTCTGCAGAATTGTTAGTTAAAAGTATGAAAATTTCAAATTTTCAAAGATTTTAATTTGTAACCTTTTCAAAATTAAATTATTTCTAAAAATTCACGCTACCTATAATGCTTTAAATATTCAATTATTATCTAAAAATTTTAACTGAAATTTATTTTTAAGTAAATTTCTATTAGAAAATTCTAAGAGAATTCAATTATTTGAATACAAAAATAAATAATTTATTGAATAATTGAATATTCTTCAAAATTTAATTCTTATACAGAATGTTATCAACAAACTCTTAAATAATTGAATTCTTTCGACGAATTTTAATAAAATTTTCGAGAATAATTACATTTTTCGAGGAATTCGATTAAAATTGTATTAAAAATAATTGAAATTCTGCAATGAGTTTTATTATTTATGAAAATAATTGAATTCCTAAAAATAATTTTCTTACTTTTGAAAATAATTGAATCTTTGTAAAAAATTCATTTTATTTATGAAAATAATTGAATTATTGCATAGAAATTTATAAAAAAATTTGTAAATAATCAAATTGCTGGTAAATTTGTATTATTTTAGAAAATAATTAAATTTCTGCAATCGTTTAAAACTTCTCAAAAATTCAATTTTTTTAAAGTGTTTTTAAGTAAAATTCTTCTGTAAATCCATTATTTTCAATAATTAAATTTTAAAATTTAACTAAATTCAGAAGAATTTGAATTATTACAACTTTTCAAAAATCGGAGTCCTTTAAAATTTCTAATTAAATTAATTAAAAATTGAAATTTTCTAAAATTTCAAATTAAAACCTTTTGAAGTTGATCTATTAATGAAAATCATAAACGCAACTCTTTTTAAATTCAATTAATTTTGAAATATTTAAGTAAAATTATTCATTAAATAATTTCTAAGTAATAATTATGTGATAGTTGTTTAACAATTTAGTTATTTAACAGGAAACTATTGTCAGAAATAGAAAAAATTGAAGGTTTAGTATTAGAATTTGTGAAAATTTCATAGTTTATGAGGCAAACAAAATTGTCACCAAAATTCAGAATTTTCTTATGAATTCTAAAACTTCAATTTTTTCCAGTACTTTGAATAAAAAATCCCTGACTTTCCCTGACTTTGTGGCAACCCTGCACTAATTTTTGAATTTTAAAACAATTTATAATAATTGTATTTCATTGTATGAAATTGTCTTTCATTTGTATGAACATTTATGAAACAATTTCCAGTCTCGAGAGAAATTGTTAGTCTTGAGTTCATAAGGTGTTTTACTCTACATTTTATTTTTCTACATCAAAATATTAATTTTTGTTTTAAAGATTAATACTTGATTAGTAGAGAAGTAGTGATTCTCGTTTACTTTAAAGGAGGGATTTATTTATGTCTACCAAAAATTTACCTCTGCATCTTGAGATTTGGCAATGTCCACCAATGTTTTCGCTGCTGGGTGAATAATGTCCAAAAGCTTTAAAATGGTAGCCCCATCGTTGGAAATTGTGCATTTTCCATTTTGATCGACAATAAGTTTGTCCATACCACGAGGACCTAATGTTGTGTGAACAGCATCAGCCACCAGTTGACATGCATTTATGTTGGAAATAAGTTGCGGTTTGCCTTGTGACGAATCCGTTCCTTCTTTCAATAAAATGATTTGTGGTTGCTGTCAAAAGAAAGCGAAATTTAAAAAAAATACACAAGTATATATTATTAAAAGAAAATATTCATAATTTCAACACAATTACTTTCGCGTATCTTCCCATTTTTTTTTTATATTTTCCAACTATTTGGTTTTTTTTTGCTTAAAATCACGTTCTTCTTTTTACGTGAACGACGTAAACTAATTGCGACTCGAGAAAAGTGAAAAACAGGTGAAGATCTACTTTAGTATTAAAAATGGAAATTTCGAGTGGCAATTAAAAAACGGAATTTAATTTCAAAATTGGATTTAATTCTATTGTGATAAATATGTCATTCCTTTAAATAATTGATATTTAATTTTTTTCAGAATATTCAAAACTCATCACTAGGAAGAAAGCGTGTTACAAGTTTATGTCCTTATAAGGTTAGGCGAAGGAAACGGAGCAACATCGAAGATGTTGAGAAAAATGGACCAGGTACGTGAAACAATAGTATTACAAAATTTTCCTTTCTTTTCGATCAAGATATTTATGGTTCAAACAATTAATTATCTATTACGGTTAAGATATTTAATTAACAAAAAAAAATATATAGACAACCGCGTGTTGTCAGCATTCATTTGTCAATTTCAAAAGAAACAATTGAATTCTCTTTCACTATAGTTGGTGTCAAATTGAAAATTTTAATCTTCAGTAAAGACTCACCATTTTTATTAGTTGTTTTTAACAAAATAACACTTGAATTATTAATTAAATAGGTTTATTTCGGTATTGTTCTTCCACAAATTGCCGACTAGAAAAACTTGGTTATTACTAAACCATAGGAAATTAATTTTTTTAAAAGGGTAACACTGCGTTCGATAGTTGGTACTCTTGCGTGCTCTTGCGCGGGAAGGTTGGATTTAAGAAAATATTTGAAATAATGCGTAAATAAATTATTATTAAAAATTTTTAATTAACTAATCAATTAATTATACAATTACTTATTTTTATTCAATTATATTCTAATTAATCACATTTTGTGAAAATGGTGGAAAATTGATTAAAATTCCCCTGTGGAGAACTTTTGAAACTTGCAAATTTCCGGAAGTCCAGGAGCAACCAATTAGAATTAGTGTAGCGTTTGCGCAGTCGGTAAGTTAGGGAGGTTTTGCTTCTGACGTCACATTTCAATATGGCTGACTGCTGGAGAACGTTCATTTCAAATTGTAGTGAAACAACGGAAAGAACGAATAAAATGAAATCAGTTTTTTTTAAAATAACTTTGTGAAAAGTAATTTTTGAAACTAAATACAATGGTGAATTATTTTTCAATTATGGAGAGCTGTTTTTTAAGTGACGTAACTATTTGTCAAAAGTCGAAATGTCGTATTCTCCGATCGACGAGGTATGTATATACGCCAAACTTGCAATTTTGCAACTCTGGAGAAATTGTTGGTCCCGTTTAATAAAAAACGTATTTATTTAAGTATTATTAACATTACTAGTAATTAAATAATTAATTACGTAAATCGTGGATAGTAAGAATAGTTTGAGTTTATTTACTATTTAGCCAGTAATTTTCGATTGTGTTCAAGTGTTTTCGTTATGCAAATAAACACTAACTATTAACCTAAAATGGACATTTTTACTTATTTTAATTAAATAATTGTTAATTGTTATTAAATAATCCTTTTTTAAATTAATTTCTTGTTTTATCATAAACAAAACAAACGTTAACAATAAACATACGGATTAAATGAACAGTAAACAATTAACAAATATTAATTTTTTGTTGTAAAAAAATAAACAATTTAAATTCATTACTTTATTTAGAAACAATTAAATTTGTTAACATGTACGTTAATAAAAAATATTAGTATTATGTTAGTATTATTAATAATTTTAACAATTTACTGTTTTTTTAATTTGACAATAATACATAGGTACTATTAACAAATTAATTTTTGTAAAAATATTGTAAAAAAATCGAAAATGTAAATTAACTAATTTCTTTATTAATTTAATAATAATAATAATTATTATTAATTAAAATATAAAACATACTATTGATTACTAAAAAATTATTGTATAAAAAAGAAATTAGTTAATTTAAATTTTCGGTTTATTTACAACTTTTTTTCAACAGTTAATTTGTTAATAGCAAATTCGCTGAAAAAAAAATGATTTGTATCAAATAACCGATTACTTGTCTATTATCAATTAAATATTCACTTGCTCTTTAAATTTGAATTAGTAAATTCTACTAATAAATTAGTAGAAATTTCTATTTATTAGTAAAATTGACTAATTCAAAAGCAAAAAGTCAGTTATAAAAGTAAATATTTTTACTAATACGAATTTAGAGAAAGAATCAAATAATATTTAAGTCAATTAAAGGAAATTTGCTTCAAATACTGAAATTATTGATTCAAATACCATTTAATTGACTCAAATAAAAATTACTTGATTCAAGTAAAGATTTAATTGATAATAATCAAGTAATTGGTTATTTAAACCAAATAAATATTTTTTATCCTGTGTAATTTGTTACAATAGATATTAATAATAAATGGTGAAAATTAACGATCACTATTTATTAAAATACAACTGAGTGATAGAATCATCTCTACTCTTAGATATTAATAATATTAAGGAGAGACACCTCTCAAAATGTTAATATTTACTATTTTTGAAGCATATTTTTCGGAAAAAAATTCATTTTTTTTAAAGCACATAAAAGAGTGAATTATCCTATTACATAAAAACTTCTATCTTTCATGAAAATATAAATATTTTTTAAATTTCAAAAATAACTTTACTTTAAATGATTTTTATTACTTAAATTTACAATTTTAATTACAAAAATAACCTTTTATTCGATAAAAAATGAATTTTTTTCCGAAAAAATGCTTCAAAAATACACTGAAAAAAAATTTAATTGAATCAAATAAAAATTATTTGACTCAATTAAATGGTTTTATCGTTTATTATTCAATAAATATTTGTTTGAACTAAGTAAATATTTATTAGATCTGAGTTCTTTATTTTATCGTATCTAATAAATAGTTATTTGTACCAAATACGAATTACTTAAGTCAAATAAATGAAATTATTGCTAAATATTGCTTTAAATCAATTATGATATTATGAAAATTACTTGATTCGATAATACATGGTTTTTAATTCAAATAAATATTTATTTGTATCAAATATTCAATTATTCATCATAATTAATTAATAGTTTCAAATAACTTATTTATATTATCGTTTCAATAAGAGATTTATTTGATCCATATAAATATTTTTTTATATTGTTTTTATTAAATACTTTATAAGCATTAAGTAATGCATTATTTGCATTAAATAATTTAGTTTAGGAAAATGAATTCATTGCGCGAAATAATTTTGATTAAAAAATTAAATTTTTTTTTTTTTTTAAAAAGGATTAACATAAACTTCAACAACGGAAGAAAAAAAATCATCTATATAATTTTTATTAATATCAAATATCCGCAATTAATTGAGTGAAATAAATAAATTAAATGTTTCAAATAACTCATTACTTTGGTTTCAATAAGTTATTTACATGATCCAAATATTTTTTATTTGTTTCTATTAAATAAAATATATTTGCATTGAATAATAAATTATTTGAATTAAATAATTTAGTTCACACATAAAGCGACAAAATAAATTAATTGTGTCAAATAATGTTTATTTATATCAAATATCCAATTAGTTGAGTGAAATAAATAAATAAATTGTTTCAAATAATTCATTATTTGTATTAAATAAATTCATTTATTAGAGTCAATTAATTATTTAATTAAATAATTAATTGACTCTAATAAATGAATTAATTGACCCAATTAAGATTTTTTCGATTCAAATAAATATAATTTAAATAATTTAAGTTATTTGAAGCAAATAAATATTTAATAAATTCAAATCAAAATTATTTGAATCAAATAAATATTTTTTTAATTAATTTGAATTAATTGAATGAAATAATTTTTTTCCAGTGTAGTAAATATTAAAATTTTAAGAGGTGTACATTTTTTTTTTAGACAAATAAAAATATTTTCTACAAATTTACCGATGGGTTTTAAAAAAATTTAATTTTTTTACGAAAAATAAAATTTTTTTACCCAATTTATTTTGATTATTGAATTCCTCGCGAAAAATAATGCTGCACTGAAAAAAAATTTAATTGATTCAAATATCCATTTAATTCACTATTATCAATTAAATATTTACTTGAATCAAATAATATTTATTGGATACAATTAAATGGTATTTGAACCAATAATTTCAGTATTTAAATCAAATACCATTTAATTGACTCCAATAAATATTATTTGATTCAATTAAATATTTAATGGATAATAGTCAATTAATCGGTTAACTGAATCAATTGAATTTTTTTTTAGTGTATAAGAATACTCTTTTGGTAGTTTTTAAGTTAAGGTCTTTGTATAGCTGAAAATTGCGTCGTAGTCTCCCCTTAATACTATATTTACTTTTAAAAAATTAAATCTTTTCAAATAAAGTAAAATTCAATTTAAATTTTCAGTTTTTTGGGATCAAAATTTAAAATTCAATGGTTAATTATTTATATTTATTAACTTTTTTTTTAGTGTATAAGAACTCTTTTGGTAGTTTTTAAGTTAAGGTCTTTGTATAGCTGAAAATTGCGTCGTAGTCTCCCCTTAATACTATATTTACTTTTAAAAAATTAAATCTTTTCAAATAAAGTAAAATTCAATTTAAATTTTCAGTTTTTTGTGATCAAAATTTAAAATTCAATGGTTAATAATTATTTATATTTATTAACTTATAATATTTATGTAATGTTAATTGTTTATTAAATTTAATTGTTTCTTTGAGATGAATCAAGATGATGAATACAAAAAAGTAAAGAATAAATATCACTAAATACTTAATAAGTTAATTATTAGTGTTTGGAAAAATAGAAAAAATGTCGCTTAATCAAGTGTTGCGAACTAATACACAAAAAAAAGTGCCATGCACTTTGTGTATAATACACAACAGATTCAAGTGTGTGTCTAAAGTTCGGACACTCGCGAGTCATGATCGAGAGGGGAGAGGGACGTGGTTTAATTTTATAATAGTCAATTAATTCATGAGAAAAGTGGTGTGTGTGTGTGTGTGTTGCGGTGCACGGAAGCGACGACGGAATCATTTTAAAGTTGAAGACTCTTAGGCGCCTGCGTCGCATAATGACGTCATTGGTGAACCAGGCAGTTAGAGAGTAGACATTCAGTCTCGGTTTAGCGCTTAAAGTGTATAGACGTGAACTTTGCCACACAGAAATCAAATGAAACCGATTTGTTGATTGATGACAGAAAATTTATTAAATCTCAACTATTCTTTAGATAGAAATTAACTGAAACGTGAGAATATTTTATTTTTTCCCGAATACACTGAATGGTTCTGAGTTTTTCTGTTCGGAACCGAAAGTTCGGATAGCTTTAGTAAAAAAAAAGGATATTTTAGTTAAGCACGAGGTCGGAGAACCGCGAGTGAATTCGATTCGTCGAGAGTTTGTGTGAGTGTGTTTTTGTGGGGGGTGAGGGTGAGTTCCCCAGGGAATAATCTGGTGAGTGTGCGCGCGCGACTTCTTTCCTGAGGAAGCGTCGCGACGCCCTAAACGAAACCCACGTCCCTGACAAAGGGGTTTCTCTACCCTTATTGTTGACTACTTTTTCTACTTTGTGAATAATTATTATTTTCGTAGTCATTTTTTGTTTTGATTTTAGTTTTTTTCCAAGACAAAAGAAAAAATTGTTTCTTTCCTGGTGTTATTTTTGCCCTTTTTGTATATTTAAAAATAAAAAAAGTGGCGCGCATTTCATTGCCTAGGGCGAGGGAAGAATTTAAAAAAGAAACAATAAAAAACCGTGTGAAATAGAAAAAAAATCTCTTTTTTGCAGAAAAATTGAACGAAAAAGCGGGATTGATGAGAAAAGTGATTGTAATATGAGAGGATGAGTTGCTCGGTGAAGATTTCGAGCGCCAGGAGTTGGAGTGGATCGCAAAGGAAAATAAATTCAGTGGCTGAGGAGACAACGCATCCTGTGAGTCCTGGATCGGGAAATTGTGGTCATTTAATTACTGCGGGAGGACAAAAGACAATTTCACCACGACCGGTCAAGTCCATAGCTGTTAAAAAGGGCGAGGACACTAGTAAACTACTAAAATATATTGATGACAATGTTATCGGCAAGAATGGAATCTTCTTCGGACCATTTGGACGTAGAAAAGGTCAGTGGGACAGTATTGACTCGCATGAGACCTAGAAAATTCCGCATTCTCTCCGCTATTGCTACAGAAATTTACTCTTTTTATTTTTGTTTTGTTGAAATATTTTTTTATTCTCCATCTATTTTATTAATTAAAAAATAAGAATCTATTCTATTAATTTCATTAATTTATAAACAAATAAAAAGAATCCATTCTTTTTCATTAATTTAAAAAAGAATCTATTCTATTAATTTTATTAATTTAAAAAAACAAAAAGAATCCATTCTATTAATTTTATTAATTTAACAAAAAATCTATTCTATTTTCTCAAAAAATTGAATGAAAAAATGGAAAATGGTTTTTTGGTTGTGAAACTTGTATATAAAATTTATTTGATTTACAGTTTTTCGAAGGATATAAATTTTAAATAAAAAACGTATCAAAACGTTGCTTCGCAACACTTTTGATACATTTTTTGTCTCAATTTTATATCCTTAGAAAAACTGTGTAATTAATAAGCATTGTGAAGAGAAATTTATTTCATTTAAATAACTGACTACTGGGGTATTATCAAATAAATTTATTTACTTGAATTAATTTTAATTCTTCGAATGTATTTCAAATAATTACAAATCTTCAATTTCGAAAAAATATTATAATTCACATAAATTGTAATTGAACGAACAATTTTAATATTCGAAGCAAATTTGATTTAGTTTAGTTTAAATTAATTTAATAAATTTATTTATTTTTAACACAATAATATTTTTACTACAAATAATATTTACCGTACATAAATTTTTAATACAAATATTTTTTACCGTAAATATATTTTTACTACACTCAAAAAAAAAACTAGTAGATTTGACTACTTTTTAACTACCCTGAGTGATTCAATAGGTCCTCAACTGAATTTAAAAATTTATATTTACTACCGAAAGTAGTAAAAAGAACTAAGAATTTAGTTGATGTAATTAGATTTTGTAGTTGTTTTTGCAATTTAACTACTTTTTTTAGTTATATAAACTATTATTCTTCAACTATATTCAAAGTAGTAAAATCAACTACACAAAAATTGTTAGTAAAACTAAAAAAGTAATTAATTTGACAACTTTCAACTCAACTAGGTAATAGTAGTTAAAGATTTCGACCGAATTTTTTTCAGTGTATAAATATTTTTAGCTATAATGCTATAAATATATTTTTACTACAGATATATTTTTATTACAAATATTTTTACTACAAATATATTTTTACTAGGTACAAATATTTTTACTAAAAATATATTTTTACTACAAATATTTTTACTAGAAATATTTTTATTAAAAATATATTTTTACTAGAAATATTTTTATCAAAAATATATTTTTACTAGAAATATTTTTACTTAAAAATTTTTTTTACTAAAAATAGATATTTTTACCAGAAATATTTTTCCTAGAAATATTTTATTAAATAAATATTTATAAATATTTACCGCAAATATATTTTTACGACAAAAATATTTTTAATGCAATTATATTTTTAGTAGAAGTATTTTTTACTGTAAATATATTTTTACTATAAATATTTTTTACCGTAAATTATATTTTGACTGCAATTATTATAAAAATAATTTGCATTTATCTTAATACCTAAATTATATAATTAAAAAAAAAATGCTTGAGAGAATGGGGTCTTTTCTAGAAATTAATAATTGATAAATTTTATAAGTAGAAAATAGTGTTTCTTGATAGAAACAAATTTTTTTATTTATTTGCAAAAAAACTGTTTTTGCGCGAAGAAAAATGTGAAATATTTCATTTTTGAAAACATTTTTCATTTTTCATTTTTCATTTAAAGTAAAATTCTTTGGTTTTATAAGAAGAAATTATTTCTTTATATTTATATAATAATTTCTATAAATTGTTAAATAAATAAATAAATAAATATTAAATTTATTTATTTAAATTTTAAACATTTTCGATTCATTAATTTTCATATTAAATAGAGAAAATTTTAAAAACTCGACAGCAAAGGTTTCTGAAAATATTTTACTCAAAAAAATTGCGTTGTATTGAAATAAGATAAATAAACGCTCTTGCAATGCGAAATGGAGATTAAAATATCAGCTATAATTTCGTTAAAATTTAAGTCTTGCAACTAATTTTCGAATATGTTTTTAACTTTTTGAATACATTTTTAATTTATTTGTTTTTTCTTCAAACACTGATTAATAAAAAAATTATAATAGTATAATAATTATAACAATAATATTATGATTGTGGAAAATAATAATAATAATGATAATAATAATAATAAGAATAATATAAAACATACACTAATATAAATAAGTAAAATAATAATATAAATAATAAATAAATAATCGAAATAATATTAAAAATAAAAATAATAATTATGATAATATAATAGTAATAATAGTAATAATTTATAATTGAAACAGTAAAAGGAAAAAAATAATAACAATGATAGTAATAATAATAATTTCAAGTTGTCAAATTTGTTTACAAAATAAGAAAAATTAAGACCACAAGTTATAGAGCACATTTCCGTGTATTTTCCACTGCAAGTGCCCAAAGTAGAAAATTTCCGACTTTTGTCAGACGGCGACATTGATGTGATACGAATGTTTAGTAGATAAATTCTGGCTGTAGTCAGACATTGCCAGAACTAGTCAACAGTAATTTATTGGAAATAGTTTAGAATATATGCAATTTTATTTCAAGAGTAACAATGTTTTTTATTACAAATTTTTATTTGTAGTAATTAAATTTAATCAAAAACAAAAGGAAAATAGGTAAGAAAAAAGCAGTAAAAGTTTCTTGGAATATTGTGGCACTTATATTTAGTGAGACTACTTTCATTGATAACATTTCTAGGTCGAAAATGTTATGCAGGCATTTTGTATATTATTCCGGTAATTTTTTCCTTTTCTGTATATAGGTATATGTTATGCATAACTTGTTTTTCAGTTTGCAGACTTATATAGATAAATAATATATCGCTTTGGCGCATTTTTAACAATAAAGTTTAAAACTTTGTTTATTTTGTGTAGACACAATATAACTTTTGCGTTTCTCATTTAGAAGTTTTTATAAATAAAAGTTGTGTAATGTACAAATATATTTTTACTATAAATATTTTTTAATATTTAAATATATTTTTTATATAAATATATTTTTACTAGAAATATTTTTACTAGCAATATTTTTTTCACTAGAAATATTTTTACTAGAAATATTTTTTCACTAGAAATATTTTTTTTAACTACAAATATTTTTTTACTACAAGTATATTTTTACTGAAAATATTTTTTTAATTCAAAAATTTGTTTATCGTAAATATATATATATGTACTATAAACATTATTTTACCGCAAATATATTATAAGGAAAAATTTTTTTTTACTGCAAATATTTTTTTACTAACAATATATTTTTACTAGAAATATTTTTTTACTGCAAATATATTTCCACTACAAATATTTTTTTACTACAAAAAATATATCTTTATACTATATAGAAATATTTTTTACCGTAAATATATTTTTACTAGAACTTCTTTTTACTGCAAATATATTTTTACTACAAATATTTTTTGTTACAAATATATTTTTAAAACTATGAATATTTTTTACTACGAATATATTTTTACTACAAATATTTTGTTACTATACAAATATTTTTTTACATTTGTCCTATAAATATATTTTTGTCGTAAATATATTTTTACTACAAATATATTTTTATTATAAAATATATTTTTACTACAAATATATTAAGCAAAGCTCTTATTAGAATAAAAATTGATTAGAATCAATTTCTTTTCCGTATGACGAATTCGATAAAGTAAAGTACCATTTTTTGATAATTATTATTTTCCACTAATTATAAATAAATTAATAATTAATTTTTTGTGTTTGAAAACACGCATTATCAATGAAGAAAATTATTCATCTTGTTCTTGAAAAGAACGGTCTATATATAGCTATATAGAAAGTAAATTTTTGTTAGAGGTAAATAATCTCCTTACTCTTGTGAAATTATTACATAATAGTATTTTAAAGTAGAACTTCAAAGATCAACCTATATATGCATATATATGCCTATCTAATTTTATTAAAGTGAAATGAGATAGATTTGAAATGATTAAGATAAAACGACGAAAGTTGTCTCGTGTTTGCTTTTATTTATTTATTTTTTTTTATAAATTATTTACCACTCCCAATTGCGTGCTAATTTATACTAGGGAAAACAACTTTCTTCATAAGTTTTTAGTTCGAGAATATATAAATTTCCCTTTTAGGAGAAAAATACCGAACATGATATTATTTTTATTAATTATCATTAGGATTAGGATTATTGATGAATTATTGATTTTATTATCAATATTATTTATTTTATTTTTTGTGAATTGTAATTAATATGTGCGATAAATCGCCGAGTCGAAATTCACGTTTTCTTTTTGATTCTTTGCTATGGTGATTCTCTTTGATTCGCTCGATTGATAAATCGATTAAATAATTAATAAATCTTTTTGATATTCTGGATTCTTTTTTGATTCGCTTGATTTTTTTTTATTAATTTGATTCTTTTTTGATTCCCCTGATTCTTTTTTCGATTCACTTGATTTTTAATTTTTTATTTGGATTAATTTGATTCTGTTTTGATTCTTAATTCTCTTAATTCTTGTTTGATTCTCTTGATTCTTTTTTTTGATTTCCTTTTGATTTTTTTAAAATTTTTCTTCGATCCTCTTGACTCTCCTGATTATTTTCTTATTCTCTTAATTCTCTTTTGATTCTCCTTTAATATTCTTAATTCTTGTTTAATTCTCTTGCTTCTTCTTTTTTTAATCAAATTTTTTTTTAACTCTGATAAAAAAATTGTTAATAGACAATTATTCTTCTTACTATAATTTAAATTAGAATCAATATATTTGTTACAATTATTGGTACTTAGAAAAAATAGTTGGTAAATATAAATTATTGTTACAAATTACAGTAATTTTACTATTTCATA